AAAAACAAACAAACATCGAGTTTGGTTTGTATAAAAAAAAAAAAACTATCGAACAGTTTTTCTGTACCCCCCCTCTCCCTCGTCTTTCCCCCCCCCCCCCCCCCCCCCCCCCCCCCCCCCCCACCGGCCTGCTTGTTGGGCCCGACCATAGCCTAATAGCTGCGAGTAGAGGTAGGCTTTGCAAATGTCCATGCATTCTGATTGATTCAAAATGTTTCCATTGTGCTGCCTAGACTTGGCATCAATAGCGGCACCATGGATGTAAGCTATATTCGTATAAATGAGAAAGAAATACTCTCTTTCGCACATTGTACTGTATGTTGAGCTCAGCCTAGCTCAACATTGTCAGTCCAGCTATCGTGACATAGACAGTTTCTTTGAAACTCTCTTTCACGGATATCAGAGCTCAGTGTATCGGCCATTGACCTTGGCATTTCATCATTTACAACCTTTACTCGAGGCTGAAGGAACTATTCATCCACACCAACGCATACATCACTGTGAACGACATCAAATTGCTCAAGCGCAACGAAATTCCATCGCAAATATGTCCGTCGGCATCCAGGACATTGATTTGAATACTCCCACCACTTCCACTACTTCCATGGTCGCTGGTGTAATTCTTCGATCGGCAGCCGTCTGGCATCCATGGATCTGGCGACTTCAACGCATAGCAGAGGCCCCAGAGGTTTGGGACTTTTTGGAAGTCGACACAGAAGAAATGACCGATGAAACACACGAGGCACGCCCGACGCCTGAGAGGCCAACACTGCAGATGATGCAGGGGATCGCCCGCTCTCAGCAAACAACTTTAGTGAAAATCTTTGGCACAGTTTACCATATGTTAGGCCTAAACATAGCTCCAAAATAAGCGTTGGAGGACACTTCAACGGTCGCTGGCTGGAGGAGTCTACATTGCCTTCATTGAGGTAGCTTTGATAAATAGATTTGGTTGATACTGACACAAATCGCTGGCACAATGTTTTGTCCTGAAGTCCTTGAAAGACTCCGTTTCTCCAAATCCTCTTTTGGAATCTATGTACTAATGTATATTGACAATAATTCATCCTGGTGGTGTTCTTTTATCTCACATTCCATACCCTCCTCATATATCAGGTATTTCTCGTCCAATTTCCATCCTGTACCATTCTGAATGTTTCTCAGCCGAAGAAACAATTCGTTGAGAAGATACCACTGAACAGAAAACAGAAAACCCTTCATTTATAACTCCATCGATGTATATAAAGCTCCATTCTCGTGTCTACGGCCCATTCCAAATTCGCCGATAGGAGACTGGACCGCCTTGACATACCCTTTAATTTCCCCGGGATGAATATAATTCAATATCACACACGTGATAAGGATCATCACTGCATCGAATATGTACGAAAGCAACTCGTACCGGCTTAGTGGGCCATCTGTGCTCTCCACAAACTCAATGAGTCGGAAAATCGATCGGATCAATATCAAGATTCCAGTGCTATATAGCGCAATCATGTGCCTCTTCCACGGCACAATGTCCTTTGTCCTCGAGCCTTGTTTAGACAGCCTCATGTTGAAAACAATGATCGTGGTGATGAAGACTCCGAAAAATAATAGTTGGATAACGACGCCGACCTTCATTATGTTTTGCCCTTTGTCCGCAGTTGTATCATTCGCGAGCATTGCACCACCTGCCATTGTCAGCAAACTTTTCGCCTAGGGGCCTCAATAGAAAGACGGAAATTTGCGTACCACTGAACTGCGCCAAGAATGATATGATATCGCCAATAACGAAGATTTTAGTGAGCCACGTTCGGCGAATGAAGCAAAATCTGTCTCCGTCGGTCATGATAATCAAACGACCAAATTCCATGTAGATACTTGCAGCAAGCAAGGCAGGGGCAACAAGAATCATGATGTATTGAATGACTTCAGGGCCAAGATCGTAATCGGGATACTGTGTTGCGGAAACCGCTCTCTGGTTATCTGTGTCAGTGACTTTTGTAAAAATCTCCAGATCGCAACGTACTGTCATGTATCCGATGACTTCGACTAGAAGGCAACTATTAGTATAACAATACTATGCATCATCCAGGCTGATGATCAAATCTTACAAATACATCCAATGAGAAATGGGATGTAGAACCATGTCCTTTTTTGGATGAGCTGCACAAGGTGAAACAGCGTAGTCACTAGGAACAGTATCCCAAACACAATTGCCGCTGTTTTTGAAGGAACAAAATCGTACATGCCCATATATTTGACCGTTGGCGACATGGTGGCGTTTTTGGCGAAAGGGGATTGCCGGGTAAAAGAACTCGAGGGCAAAGTAGGAATAGCCTTCGCTGAGTGTCTGTGTAGAAATCAAAGATGCGATCTCTATATCGGAAGGATCGAGACCTTATAAATGAAGTCAGAGGCTAAGCAGATCTAGAAGTTAAGTGCAGCAAGAAGTCCCTTTTATGATCAGCTTTCTGTTGTGGTTTGAGACAGACTGTACCGATGATGAAGCATTAGTGGATCCAAAATCTTCGCCAGGCAGCCGAGCTCCATGATATTTGAGAAGCCTACCTAGGTAGACGCTGTGTGTATAAGATATTCAATTAGCCAGGGCTATAAAATGGAGCGTGTGCCAAGAAAGCGCTTGATTCACTACTGAGTATCTAAAACCCACTAAGTCTATGAGATTTACCGCTTTGTATTCACTGTTTTTCCTGTGATTCACCAGAATCTAGCCATTTCTTCTACTCTATAACTGAATTTATCGTAATAAGAAATACTTTAAATTTATTATCTATACAGGGAGTTTGAGACGGAAGCATTAGGATTATGTCTTATAGATTGGGATTCGAACAGCTGCTAAATTTTAAAGGACTTAGAACTACAGCTAGGCAGCCTCTGTCGAGCTTAAACGGCTATTTCGTGGAATATCTAAAATAATCCAAACATAGGGTTCAAAATAGAGAGCATATTTTACTACTCGGTATACTTGTGCACGCCCCATATGGGTCTTTCAGCCGGGTGGGGCTTGCGCAGGCGACTCGTATGCCCGTATGCTCGTATTCCCGTATGCCCGTATGCTCGTGTGCTCGTATGCCCGTACGTCCGTTTGCTCACCTGTAATAGTTCCGTACTTAGCAGTGAATATGTCGTTACATCTCAACTGTTACGACCTTCGGGGACGCCTATTCATACTTACCGCGCTCGCGTGTGAATGAGGGGCTCAGAGCCTATATTCCTTAGAGAAGATATCTCAGTAAAGTAACCATCCTTCAATATGCCACTGTATTGTTGCCATGAAACCTAGTCGTGGCTCACTTTTCCTTGTGGCTTGACAATATGCTTCCCAGTACATGATATCTACGAGTCCTCTGAGAGCCTGAGTCTGAGCACCCTCATTAAAGCGGCGGCAGCCCAAATAAGGAGATCCCCACACGCCAGGGAAAATCCGGTACAGTATGTATAGGTGCATATAAACTCCATCAGACCCTTTGAAACCACTGTTAGCAGCAATCTTGGAATCACAGGGCTATTTAGTCTTGTTGATCCTTTCGCTCTGCGCCCATGCCATAAACCACAATGAAACCCGGCTTTTGAACATTCTGACACACGCATCGTTTTGGGTCCCAGAAGTACTCGTACCCGTGGATGGAGGCCTTCGTACGTTTCTGCAGGATCTCAGGGGAGTGATCAACCGTTCAATCAAACCAGAGGGATCTTCAGAGCTACCTTCAAGCAAGGCGCCGATCTACTCGCGCTAAACACAGGCGCTAAAATCACGACCAATCGCGCTCCACAAGACAGAGATCATCGATGGAAGCTCAGTGCATGATGCATGGGATTCACCTGTATTGGAAGAGGGAAGGGCTATGTAAGTACGATCCTACGACTACTCGTAGATACGGAGTAATGTACAGCGAATACATACATGACGGTGATACCTTAGCGCCCTCGTAGCCTATAAGAGACAACTTTAGAACAGCTATGTGCAGACTGACGCAGACCTGACATCAAGTCCCTGAAAGATCATCAAGGGGAAGATCTTCACATCCTTCGCGTTTCACCCAATGTGATGTATAATTTTGCCATCTTATATTTGACAATACTTAAAGTATACCTCGCACCTACTTGCGAGGTCTCAATACCCCCAAAGCACTTCTAAAGTTGAACATTATAAACATTGAAACGGAATTCTTCAATACCTAATTATCTATCTACCATATCCTTGCTATAAAATTCCAGCCCTGGAAACATATCCATTCAACAAAATCCGACGATGCAATTCAATCTCCTCCTCGCCTCCGTGATCGCTCTGGGCACCACAACAATCGCTCAAGTGCCTCTCAGCAGCTCCGCAACCTCGCAAGTCACACAAACCCCAATCACCGCTCCTTCGACGCGTGGCCCGACCACACCTGTGCCCACATTGCGCAAAATGCAATCTGCAACTCCAAGTCCCTCTACCACTCCTGCCGCTGGATCTGGGGGGATGGTGAATGGTTTGCCATCAGCTGGTGCCATGGGGGCATTCTTCTAGATAGGGTATGTTGAGCTTAGATGGTGCGGGGGAGATGTCGGCAAGAGGAACTCGTTGTATACTGGGCTGGGCCCTTGCTATGATGGTTCGTTTGTGCTGATCCAATTGTCGCCATGCTTGAGATCCATCCAGAAATTGAAATTGGTGCGATTATTGTGTAAACGTATCTACCATCCTGTATTAATGCAATGTCACCAACATAGCGGCTGTGAAAAAAAGGTCAAGAAACACAAAGACAGAAGACCACCCAAAAGAAGACAACATGAAGATAACATAAAGCATAAACAGAGTTCCACCCGAGATTATATCAACATACTATACAAAGCGAAAAACACAAAGCCCCCACGGGGCCATTTGTCCGAAATGAACCACACACAGGCGAGATATCAGACCGGGCGCAGGAGAGATCGTTGCAAATGTAAAGCGCACTCACTTGGAATCTGATCACATTCCGATCCGCGATACCAATCTTGTTCAATGAGCTGGGTTTCCAGATCTCTCCAGTATCCAGCTTTGCCACCAGCCCCGGTCTTCAAGTCGAGGTCGCCGAGACGAATCTCCACGGCAGACCTTTCGTCATGCGGGATCTACGCTATGTCAGTTTTACCCAGATGGATTCGGAGACTAGTGTGTACTCACTCTGACGAACATTGTGCAATCCCGCAGCGTCATTGCAAGTGACATGTCCCGACTCTGAGCCAGGGGCCCTAATAAGCCCACTTCCCGCTCGGTTTTCTGCAACGATTGTAATCTCAATAGCGTTGGATTCCGAAACAAGATATGAGCTAACCGTGACCTATCCGTGCACCCCCTGATCAGGCCCGTGGCTCGCAGGACATTCTCATACCGTTCAGAAACCAGATCAAGCGGACAAAAAGATCTTTGTTCCTTGACACCGACGAAAGCTGCGTGGTTCTTCATCTCCCTAAGTGCACATGTGCGACATCTATGTGCTGTTTCTGGCGCTGAGGGGGACTGATTCAGCCACTTGGGCTTGAGTTCTGCGAGTATAGAACTGTCATCGGCGGTCATGTCAGTGATGAGGAGACCAAATGGTTCTGTTAGACAGAGGTAGGTGCCGTGGCGCTTTCGCGGGCGCTGGCCATCACGCTCTGCGGCGCGAAGCTGCTCGTTGCATCGTGAGAGGAGAGTGTCCGGGAGACGGATGAGGGTCTGATCGACCAGTTCGTCTGACTTGAAGAGGGGGCGGATGATGGTGTCGAAGTTGCGGGCGATCTCCTTGTAGGTGATGCCTGCGGCAGTTTCCTTGCGGAGACGGAGAAGTTTGCCTTGGAGTTGGGGTGAAATGGTGTCGATGGGATTTACGAAGCGGTAGATCACGTTTGCCCCGCCCTCGGCGAGATAGATGAGTTGAACTCCCGTGGGGAGTTCAAGGAGACTGGGCTTGGTCATCCGTTGGGAAGGAGTTGAATACGTGGTCGCTCTTTGTCATGACGGGGCTGCTACTTCTGGACAGCCCGTAATACGATATTCAATTGGGTGTGGGATAAGCTCCTAAGATCCGTTGTGCATGCATCCAGTGAGCTTAAATCCAGGGCTAAACCGGGTTTAGCTTGCGGCGAATCACGCTTGCACACGGATCCACGAGTGCAAAAATTGAGGGGGCAAATGGCCTTGTCGAGTGTCTAAGCAGACAAAGAGGACACGAGAGAATCGACGCTGGATATAAAGGGGACTCAACGAGACAAAGAACCCCAGAATCCGGTAGGTCAAAAATAAAACCCGGGGGAAATGTGTTGCAGGGGCTTGACCCGGGTGGGGGCTCAATCGTCCAGTGGCGTCCTAGAGCCGATCACCAGTTCATCGGGGGTTTCCCTAAGCCTTCACTCAGAGGTTACAGAAGAATATATGGAGTAACGGAGTACTCCGTACCAGATCGTAGGAACTCGAAAGTCCAGGGTCTTCAAGTCAAAGAGCAACACTGCCCACAACACTGCCCATTTATCTATGAGCAATGGGCGGTCAGCAGAGATCGGACACCTCAGCAGAGGGGATTGTGCATAAAATGTGAGATAGGAGGCTCGAGGGCCGTTGATCTCTGATACGATCTTTGATATGATCTCTTGACAGGAGATATCAGTTGTTTGTTGTCCAAGACACACAGTTGTAGTCGGAGGCAGAAATGCCAAAGGTTTCAGCCCTGCAGAATTGGCTGACAACATCTCTTAATCCTGGCTCTTTAGCTGCAACTTCACCCCTCCAGCTCTAAACCGCTTTCTCGCTTTACATTTCCCTGTACATCCGCTTCACCTTGGGTACTGAGTACGAGTACGGAGTACGAAATACTTGCATTTCGCTCGTCATGGCCGACATCCCCACCCCCGCCCACTGTGTCGCCGACTTCTGTCTGATCCCCGTAGGTCAAAAGATTCCCCCTTACCTGGGCACCCGCTCACCGCACAGATCGGCACCTCGTCGCCATCAGTCTCAGACCAGATCGCCGACGTCCAGCGGCTGATCGAAACTTGCGGCTTGAAGTATGTCATGCATTCCGCGGGCACAACCATCGGTGCGTATTCTCCGCAGTTCCGGTTCCTACAGATGCGTGAAACATGTTCTTATCGGACAGAACTGAAATGTGTCTGAGAGAACGCGGTGCGACCTGCTGCTAATGCTGCTATGCTGTTTATAGAAGGTCCTTGGGACCGGGTTCACCAGGTTATCGGACAGGCGCATACAATCCTTCATCGCCAGGGCATTGTTCGGATTCAGACCGATGTCCGTGTTGGCTCGAGGTGAGCGCTGACCCCTGCCGTGGATCATCCAGTCACTGATTCTCTGTAGAATCGATAAGGTGCAATCCTTCGAGGACAAGGTGAGTAAAGTGCGAGAGTTGCTGGCAAAGGACTAGCTACCCCTCGTGGAAGATATGATGGACTCTTGCTTCACCATGGGTGCATTCGTAAACTATATGAAGTAGAATAGATATAAAGACGCTGTAATCCAGAACGCCCAGTGTATCCCCGCTATGTTCTCCTAGTATGAATCGCATGTCATAATGCCTGAGAACCGCTAAAAAAAACCGAAACAAAAATGAATCCAAAAGATCTAGAAAGAAAGACCTCCACCAAGGAGATTACCCCAATTTCCACCAGCCCAGATCCAATTGCCCATTGAGACAGTGGACCCCGCTCTCGCAGAGTCCGCCAACTCAACAAGCCCCTTGAAGACACTGCTGCTCGAAGACGCACTGTTGGTCGAAGCTTCCGAGACAGACTTCCGACCAACAGGATCGGTCACGTTGTTCAAACTATCCACCGTATCGATCGCAGGTCCTCGATTGAAGAAATCAACCAGCACAAACGCCGGTTGGCGCCCACTCCACTCCTTTTTGCAAGTCGACGCAGCGTCACCCAAGTTACCGGTGCCACCAGACGCAGCATTCGTCGTACCGATGTAGCTAGCGTTCGGGTATTCAATGTCGAACTTTGCAAGATCGGACGAGTACAGGAAGTGGTTCATGAGCGGGAGGAGGTTGGCGGCGTTGGCGGACGCGGCGTTGCCGGAGTATGCGGACGGTCGATCCGCTTGACAAGAGAAGTTGGACGCAGAGCTCGTGTCGTAGGGGTTCTCCCAAAGGAAGGTGAATTCGTCCATGAGATAGGGGTAGCTATCGCTGGTGGTAAGGGATGCGACGAACACAACCAGGCGTTTGTCGTCGTCAATCATGGTCTGGAGGGTTGGCCAGCTGGTGGGGGCGCTGCTTTGAGAGGTTGGTTCGTAGGCATAGTCGGTGATGTTGGCGGTTGTGAACTCAGTGTTGAGTTCGGACGCCGATGCGTCATCAGAGTTGACGAGGAGGATGGTGACGACTGGGAGTGGTTAGATTGCTGCTTTTTGCTCTTGGGATTTGCGACTTACCTTCATTGGGGTTGTCATCGAGCCATGATTTGATCTTCTTCAACCAGTCGCTGAGGAGTCCTGCGTCAAGCAAGGAGCAGGAGGAGTGACAGAGGCGCCATTGTGAGTTGCTCTTGTGGACTTGGGCGGTTACGAGACGGACACCGGCCGATAGTTGTGTTGGTGTGTCGAAGTACTGGTTACCGGCCACCGAGTTACTGGTACTGGCATCGCGCAGGAACGGACTGTCGTGGGCGCCGAGATGTGTGATCTCACCGTAGGACTTGGAGCAGAGGTCGGGGGAGTTGTTGCAGGCAGTGGTGCGCTTGGCCAGCGGATTTGCCAGAACTGCAGGCAGCAAGGGCAGAAAGTTGAACACTCGCATTTCCAAGTCTCACGGAATTTGAAATATACAAAATATGATAAAATGTTAAACAAATGTCACTCAAGTAAACAAAAGAGGGTATCAGACAATAAAAAGTGTTTACCAACAGAAAGGCCGCGTTGCCGTCTCAACTATTCTTAGAGGATCTGCAGTGCACTGCCGGCCTGGGCATACTCCACGCCTCCACGTCTCCACGTCTCTTTATTTCTGACGCTTACGCAGCCTCATAAAGGCGTTGAAAACCCTGGGTCCATTGTCTTGGAGTACTCGTCAGTGTTCCTGGTGGCAATCCCAGATTGTAAGTAAGGTGAGACATACTGAATTGATCGGTGAAATGGGTATTATTATTTACAATTACAATGCTAATGTACATGGGTTGTTCATAACCCTTTTCGCGAGAGTCGTATACCGGGAGCACGTCGCTTCGACCTGGCAGAACGTGGCGGATTGACCAAATGTTCTAGATTCCTCTCCAATCCATCAAAAAGAGATGGGTCGCCCCAGGCCTGGAACACATCGTGGACCACTTGCTGCGCAGTATATGGATTTCGACGTCGCAGCATACGGTTCAGACGTCGAGCAGAAAGAACATGCTCGCTATAAAGCATGGCAAGCCGGTGTCGAACGGCCTGTGAGATAAGTCTCTTGTCGAGGCGAAGGCCCGATTTTTCAAGCTCTCGTAGTAGGATCAAACCTCGGACCCAGGGAATGAGTGTTTCGCCTGGCCTGGAAGGGTTGGGAATGGTAAATCTGGAGGCGGTTGTGTCGAGTACGCGGAACATGAAGCCCCAAGAGACGATGGCGGCTTGCATCTGTGGAGTGAAGACCAAGTCAAGCATTCGTCGATCCCGACTCCTGGTCTGCACGGGACTTTCAAGACTGGGTTGCGGCTGGGTGTCTGTCCTGGGGATATCCCCATTGCTGCCAGTGTATTGGCAAACAAGCCAGTGGCAGAGTTGTCGGAGTGCATCCCAATCTTTCCAAGCATCGGTGGCCATTCCGAGACGTTTTAGAATCTCAACCCAAAATGCGGCACTGACATATCCCCCAGCGGGAACGACACGTTTAAGAATCTTGAAGATAAAACCCACTTCTTGGGCAGTGGAGAGGCGTTGGCCAGGTGGTGGGCGATGGTTCATCCGGCGAGGGGTGAGAACCTGCTCAGCCATATAATCCACACTATCCTCGCTCAAGGTCTCATTTTGTAGGGCAAGCTCGTCGGCAACCTTGCAGGCAGCAGCCAATTCCCAGGCCGCGAGATGCTTCCTGAAGTGGATATCGGAGAGATTGGGGGCAGTTGGGTATAGTTCTGTCAGGGCTGCAAGAGTCATATTGTATAGTCGCCAATCCCGAGCCATGTAGTACGAAACTAACATCGACTCCTGGGTACGCTTGTCTTCGAACACATCGGGGTGTTGATCGCTGCGCAAGATGTCTGAGAGGAGTATGTCGCGATTTTGAGCTGCAAGTTTCTGGACCAAGCGCGAAAATACGGTGTTTCCTGCAGATATTCCTGATTGCTTCAGGATTTTGAGCTTTTCCAGTAGATCGTGGTTACCGTGAGCTCTGGTCGCCATCTCGCGCAGAGTCCGGGGACCAATTTCAGTTACCCCGAGCATCTTCAACCCACCAACTATCATGTCAAAATTGAGAGCTCGAGTAGCAAAAAGCTTGGCACCAATATCGTCCTTGAATGGCTTTTCGTCTTGCGAGCTTTTTTGGGCGTGCTGAGATAAGTGGATGGGACCGGGTTGATCAACAGAGGCTTCAGGGTCAAACCGCTTTTTGACATATCTGCGGAGCTTGTGGAATTCTTTCCGATACCCAAATTTCTCGACATATTCCAACAGCGGTTGGATTTCAGCGGGGCTTTGTGGATGATCCTCTCGTTGTGCAAGGTAAAAATGCATTGAGATCGCCGATTCTCCATGGCCATGCCGCATGAGGGTGGCAATGACTGGCCCGTAGAATTGGTGATCAGGAAATGTGGAACACATGGCCTGGAAAGCCTTCAGCCCGGGTGACAAAGGTGGCGTTTCAAGTTCGTTCGCGATCGGCCATTCCGTGCCAGCCGGAAGAGATGATAGAGAAAGTGCCAATGGCAAGATTTGCAATGTATCACTGGGAGTGGCAAGTCGGGCACTCTGTAGTCGCTTGTGCCATTCGACTGCCCGGTTTGGCATGCCTTGTTCTAGAAGTCCACCCACAATGCGGTAGTAGAGCTCCGGCCAACGACTATCGTGGTCTTCCGCGAGTTTGATAGCATACTGAAGAACATCCGTAAGGAATACCTCACGCCTCAGCCCCAAGTCCACAAAGCTGCGCCAGAAAAACTCCGCTTGTTTCCCCGCGACTGGAAGCCTGACTCCATCCACGCGGACGGTCAGTCCCTCCCATATATCAATTGTGCCAGTGTCCCCATAATGCCGTTGCCGGTATCGAAGAAGTTCTTCCCATAAGTCCAAATTGAACCGATGATCCACTCCATCCACTAGCCGCGTTCCGATGTTGTTGAGGTGTCCTACATCCGATTCGAATTCAAGCTTGTCCGGTCGAAGCGCCAGCTCTTTGGTTGGACAATGCGGGCTGCCCTGATGTTGAAAGCCGTCCGCGACGTTGGTGTGTTCATTAAGTGGCTGTTCGCTGGGTTGATCGATTTCGTATATGGGAAAGCTGAACGGCCGTTTCCCTCGGCATGGATCTTCTAGTGTGCTTGAAGCAGGGCGATTCGTAGGTTCACTCGGTGCTTCCCGCTTCGAGGTTTGCGAATTGCACCGTAGACACCTATACTTCGAGTCCAATTGCTCTATTCCGATCGGTGTAGCTGTGAGGGTGTCAAGAATCGAGACGGCGGACGGCCTCTTCAACAGTCGCAGAAGCGCCGGGCGCATGAGTGGTGAACGAAGGAGAGTCGGGCAAGCAAAGTCTCGACGTCAAACATCCTAGCTCCCGACGTCAATGCGAAAGTGCTAGTGCTATCAATTTGTTGATACGCGTCGTACTTTTCTGCCACTATACCCGTTTGGGGGCTGATGACCAGAGACAACATCTGATTCGATCAGGTGACGGCACGTGATCATCGTCCCAGCTCATTCCGGTCCAACTTCGTCGGCACCTCACGCCCTTGAACCTCCAATCCCCGCTCCTTTCTCCCAACCGCCAAAATGTTCCGCGCTACTGGCTCCCGCATGGCTGGGTACGTCTCTCTCCCTCGATCCACCGCCCAGACTCCCCGCGCACAAATCCGATCATGAGAGTGCGACCACCGAATTTCCTCTCGGGACCTTCGGGGTCCAGGTGCAATTGAGGGGAATGCGTGGACGAGTAGCCTTGCCCTAGCTTCACAACATGTCCTGACTGGCTTCTTTCATATAGCTTCGTGTTCCGTGAGAACCGTGTGCCCTACTACCAGCGTCTCTTCCAGAACCACGACGGCAAGCGCCAGTGGTGGAAGGTCAGTCCTTGGCCCCAATGGGTTCCTGCGCCCTCAATCCGCTACCACAAATATCTGACGCTTCAATTGCTCTATAGACCTCCCGCTCCGGTTACATCATGTGGCCCTACCTGATCACCACCTACGGCCTCGGTGCTGGTAAGCCAGATCCGTCCGATATGAAGAAAGTCAATTGGGAAATACTAACTAAAAGAAATAGCCTCCATGTACGGCATGTGCCGCATGGTCCTGGTTAGTCTCCCCCGCCAATAGTCTCTCATTTGAGCGAATGGCCCCATGCACACACCTGTTGGTCCATACGCTAACTTTTTAATAGGGCAAGAAGACCTGGTACTAAACTATCGGTCATACGACCTAGTTGGATAGAGATCGACAATATCAATCTCTGGTCATTTGTTTGTTGAACTGCTCTGGCAGTCATTGTTCTATGGTGTATTCTTACCCTGAGAAGGGGCTAGATGGTCTGGCAGCTGCGCGGATCTGGAGCTGTACATATGCTAAATTCAAGCGCCAATCCAAGAGTTGTTGATTTTCTCTACTTTATGATCTCTCCCTGTTTTATCATCTGTGGCCCCATTCTCTATGAAGGTGCTGGAGTCACTGTTGTGGTTGAGTATGGCATTGTCATATTCCTTTACCTGTGAACTTCACTTCACTTCATGGGGTTGCTCTCTAAATTTGCTTGAAAGTAAAAGAAGGGATACCCAATACGGCGATGACCTGGTCCAGAATACATGGATGTGATTCGCAACCGCTGTCATATTCCTTGGGCTGGTCGGAACTAAACACCTGCAAGCCTTGGTTGTGACGGCTCTTGGGGCAGGCTCCCTGCTTGGTTTGAAGTTGTTGATCAATGTAACACATCACTTCGCGTAGCGATATTAGTAGTGAAAGCCCAGCACAGCGAAGGCGGTGTGCAACATGTAGATTTGACCATCTCGTCTCACTGCCACTCTGACACTATATTCCAACGCACCTTATAATGCAGGGGCTTCCCGGCTACAACATGATCATGAACAGGAGTGACGCGCGCTGACCTTGGCATCTAAGCGCATAAGATGGAAGACGACTTTAATTGTTCAGAGCGCCCAGCCAAACGGGTTCGCCAAGCGTGTGAGCCCTGCAGGTAATAAATAAATCGTGTTCTCTGTTGGGATGTTGCTGACTTGTCTTTCAGACGTAAGAAGGCCAAATGCCCTGGAGAACAACCAGTCTGCTCCTTGTGTGCGAGATTGCGACAGCAATGTTTGTATGCCGAGGAGCGACGTCGCCCACCCCCGGAGGAAAGCTCAAGACCAATTGAGACAGAGAGTAGATCATCTCAAGCGCTGGTACTTCTTTCCTGGTCGGTTCAAGCATATGTGATGTGTCAATTAACTCTGTAGTAGGAAGACAGATTGAGAGGCCTTGAAGGAAAACTAGGGCAAGTTCTTACTATTCTTGGGTAAGATCACATGTTGTGGGCGCGGTGGCTATTGCTTACAGTCTATATACAGCTCGAACGGTGAATCACAACTATCGGCGGAGCCGGTTGTGCCATCGGTGACCCTATCAGTGCCAAGCTCATCTATAACCCTGCCACCATGGGAAGACATAGTACCCATCGCAGAGTTATATCTGCTGTACTGTGATTCTCAACCACTTCCTCTATTTTATCGAGAGAGCTTTGTTTCCAGTCTTCGTACACGCGATGCTGAGGTCGTCTTTGCTATGCTTGCACTAGCCTCTCGGTTCTCATATACTCATTATAGCAGCAACGACCCAGAGGGCCTTGTCAGTGGTTATGCCGAAGTTGCTCGAGGCCTTGTCATGAAGAGAGTATCAGAGGGACCGGTGGAGCTCTCCACGCTTCAGTGCCTTTGTCTGCTGAGCTTGGTAGATTTTACAAGTATGCATTGAGTCTCTTGTTGGATGAACATACTGACAAGTGTTTACAGATGGTCACACGCATCGCTCTAGCGTTCACAGTAGTCTGGCAATGAATCTCGCAAGGTCTGCCAACCTTGGCCAAGAGCCACGCTCACCAGTGAGCAATTTGGCTCGAGAAGAACGCAGGCGTTGCTTCTGGAGTATATGTCTTCTCAAACGGCTACATGGCGGCGACTTTTCTATCTTGGATATACCCGAAACGGGAGGTCCTCCCTTTCCCCAGAGTCCAGCTCGTCCAGCATCCTATCTTTCTCCTGGCCCACCAACCGCTGAAGCGCGGCGAAGCGATATGAAAGACGAAGGGATCATTGCGTATGTGGTCACCCTCAGTGAAGTGTTTGCAAGAGCAGCGCGTTACGTTCGACATCATGGTCGACCGAGCAATGTCCCACCCTGGTCTCCTCATTCTGAGTATTCCAAGATTCTTGCTTTACAAATGGACCTCGAGACTCGGATGCCATACATACATCGATTCAAGCCTGCAAACCTCGGGGAAAGGTCCTCTGATGAGTTACAGACCAATCGCGAATACTGGGGACCGTGGTTCTTGAATCAATTCATGTATCACACCAGTCTGTGTCTTTTAAACCACCCACTTTTGCTTTCACTGAGTCTTCGAAACTTCCGAAGTACCATTCCAGAGATTTTTCTCCAACACACCTCGGATTTGATCTCATCTCATACAACATGGATCATTCATTTCATCAACTACTTTGGAGAGAAGTCATTCTTGGTGTCAGACCCTTTGCTGGGATATGGTGCTGCCGTGGTTGCTACGATTGAGCTGCAACTCAGTTTCACGGATGACCTGGCAATCAGGGAACAAAAGCGGGAACGGTTTACCAAATGCGTGCAGTTCGTGCAACAGATAGGACAAAGATGGCCTCACATGGCTCGATTGGTAAGGGCTTCTTGCTGCCCCGGTGATGTGACTTGGCGACGAGCTGACTTCTTGAATAGGCACACAAACTCCAGCGTCTAGAAGACGCCGTCTCCGCAACCTATCAATCAGACCCAGGGGCACAGAACCAAAGCCTCCTAATTGATCTCTCACGATTCTGGGAAATCCTCGAGTATTCTTCCAACAGCGACATGAAGTCTGCTCGGCGTCTATTTGGAGAATCTTTGTACACCGGGTCTTCTTCTGCAGGGGGAGAAGTATCTCAGACATCTCCTTTACCCGCGCCTTTCCGATTATCTGCCCAGGAAGAAGGCACCCCAAACTTTCGATCTCAATCTTTCAGCGGCAATGCGACGTTCCCAGGCCAGGACTATGCCATCAACTCCTTAGTCTCACCCCAGCAGCTCACTCTGTCAAACGACGAGTTCTCCATTCTTGCTGCAAACTTCTTCTCGCAGGGCCAAGAATTCCTTCGCAGTGGGGACAATTGGGATGATGTTGGGAATTTCTAAATTCCTGAAACTTGGCCCTTTCGGGGGTTCGTGGTGATATGTTCCTTGCCAGTTTTCTGGATACGCTTGTTAGAAGTTCGATGGCACGGAAATTATTCCATTGTATTTTTAACAAGTTCTATATACAATATTTTTCAACATTCATTACGACTAGGCCAATGCGGCCTTGAACTCCTTGACGAAGTTGAATACATCAGAGTAGGTGTTGTACAAAGGCACAGGGGCAACGCGAACAACGCCAGGCTCTCGCTTATCACAGATGATACCTGCGTTTTGCAGACGCTCCGCTACCTTGTGCAATAGGCCAGGCTTAAGCAGAACACTCAATTGGGCGCCGCGTGCATGGGGGTCGGAAGGCGTGATAATCCCATACAAACGAGTTTCCTCGTCGGTATCCTTCAGAAGTAGGTATTCAAGATACGCAGTCAGCTTAATAGACTTTTCGCGCAAATCTTGGATGGAAGTCTGGTCAAAGACAGACAAAGCTGCACATAGAGAGGTGAGATCCATAACTGAAGAAGTGGAAATCTGGAATCCTCCAGCTCCGGGAATAGGCTTAAACTCTGCCGAGGGTTAGAGATTCTGCTGCCCTTTCGAAATAGAATAAACTCACTGTTGTCCATCTTGAAGCGCACAGACCGATCGCCTCCATACCATCCAGTCAGGCGATGACGGAACTTTGGAGCATCGGGTCCAGCGCTGTAGTCAACTTGGCCATGTCTCTCGTGCACGAACAGTCCACCCATAGACCCGGGTCCGGCATTTCCATATTTATAAGTGCACCAAACTGCAAAGTCAACGTTCCAGTCGTGCAGCTTGAGTTCGGCATTTGCAAATGCGTGGGCTAGATCCCATCCGACGACCAGACCCTTGGATTGAGCATACTTGGTAATGGTGGGGATATCAAAGAGCTGCCCGGTGTAGTATTGGATACCAGGCAGAAGAATCACTGCTGCATCCTCGGCATGTTGGTCAATGATTGATAGAATCTTCTCAGTTGAGATCTCGTGCTGTCCCTCATCTGGTCCGATCAGCACCATGTTCTCCTTGGCGTCGAGATCATGCCAGGCGATCTGTGATTCAATTGCATACTATGAAAATGTTAGTTTTGAATGATCTAATTTCCTTGATAGATTCAACCATAGTTTACTTACGTGATCACTCGGGAATGCCTTCCAATCCAGCAGGATCTTACGCCTGGTCTCAGTGGGCTTATAAAAGCTGGCAAGCAACAAATGCAAATTCATAGTCAAGGTGCCCATTGCAGCAACTTCTTCGGGCTGCGCGCCAACTAGCTTGGACATTGAAGTGGCCGCCTGCTCCGACAACAATTGCCATTGCGGCAGAGGTGAATCCTCAAGATCAACAAAGTGTCCGCAAACACCAATCGAGGACCAGGTATCCAGCTGAGCTTCCATATATTTTGCCACAGCTTTGGGCTGAATACCTAGCGAGTTACCAGCAAAGTATATGCTAGAATCCGCGGAAAGACCTGGGCGAATGTCAATACAATCCCAGAGAACGTTACGGTATGATCTCACCTGGCTTCGCCAACTTCTTAGTCGCGAGGTTGGCCTTTGAAGGAATGATGAACTTGTCGCGGAACTCGCGCAGAGGATCTGCTGCATCCAGAGAGGCGGCATATTCTTGTGTCGCTGCCTCTGCAGGGAACGCAGGCTTGGGTGCTTTTGTGGCGGTCATGGTGTGGGTATGGATACGTAGTAAAACAGTGGCGGCAAGAGAGAGAATGGGGGAAATGTAGGGAAGTACTGAGGGGAAGGTCTTTCTGCAGCTTGAACACGTACTATTCTTCTTTTATAAGAAAACAATGTCGAATCGGAACCGAGGGAGTTGCACTTGCAATGCAGCCCGGATGGATATCCGCTTCCGCCTCGATCTTCCGCCTCGGAAAGTATCCATAGATCATCCCTGCTTCTCGCGATTTCGTGTGTAATAGGTTCTGGAGAACTTAGCTGATGCATTACATCACTTGAGCTCGTTTTCATTTGCCTTATTTATTAATACTGAAGAAAAAGAGATCACAATGCTGCTCAGCTGCATGCACATCTTGTCAACCTTGGGATACTTATGCATTAGATGCATGACTTCATGGATGTGAACTGCTCCCAATTGGCTATATCCATGGATAAAAACTCTGCCTCCATATGTTGTGATATGTTTGATAAATATGACCTGTCATGAAGATAAATGACAACCAATGATACGATGGCGTCCAGATGTCGGCGATTGTTGAAGTCTCAGATCAGCTAATAGTACATCAGAGGCGGAACCCGGATGTGTATCCGGATTAGTTCCGCATTGTATAGATCGACCAAGCTCTGTTTGTTATAAGAGGAAAACATCGAGTTCCAAATTCGTTCGCTTACATTTTCTCCATCCAAATTCAAAATGATTCAATCCACAGAGTCGGCCATTGGTGATATTTTCAAGGGCTATGCTGAGCATGGTTTCCTTCCTGATGGTCTACCATTAACGCGACTATCAAATCCGTACTATGAGGCTTGGGAGAACATAGCCAGCGAGCTTGCTGTACTCATTCAAACAAAACAAATCAGATCCAGAATTGATCAACTTGCTGTGTGTTCAACAGAACACCTTGAGACAGAACCAGAATGGCGTCGAGCATATGTGATCATGGGCTACTTCACTCACGGCTACATATGGGGTGGCGACAAGCCACAAGATGTAAGTTTGTTCATCCCACAACCTGTTCAAACTAACGTGTTCCCGAAAGCGTCTTCCTCCCTCGATTGCAAAGCCATACCTTGAGATAGCGGCTCACCTCGAGCTACCTGCCTGCGCTACCTACGCCGGTCTGACACTGTGGAACTACAAACCCACACATCCAGAAGCAGACATCACGGACCCCGAAAACCTTCAAGTACAAACATCGTTTACCGGCACAAGGGACGAAGAGTGGTTCATGGTGATCTCTGTGGCCGTTGAGGCTCAGGGTAGCAAACTGATATCTTTGATGCGGGATGCCATCAAAGCTGTTGCTACCGGGGACAGAGGGCTTCTCGCTGATCTATTATACACATTTGCCGATGGTCTAGACAACCTAGCCATCGTTCTACGAAAAATGTATGCCCACAATGATCCTGCTGTCTTTTACCACCAGCTTCGGCCATTCCTGGCTGGTAGCAAGAATATGGCACATGCTGGGTTGCCTCGTGGTGTTTATTATGACACCGGTGATGATGTTGAACACCCTGAGAACTGGATGCAGTTGAGTGGTGGCAGCAACGCTCAGAGCTCGTTGATCCAGACCCTTGATATTTTCCTTGGGATCACACACACGGCCACAGATGGGAAGAAAGCATCTGGCCCCGCTTTCATTCATGTAAGAGATAATATCCTGCTGGTTTTTTGTCGATTTGGGGGTTTCTTTGACAGAGTGCTGACAAGAACACAGGAAATGCGAAACTACATGCCCGGCCCTCACAGACGCTTCTTGGAGAGCCTCACTGCTGGATCGACCGTTCGCTCCTTCATCTTGTCTTCGGGGGAGCGATCCGTCGAGAGAGAAGCATATAATGCAGCAGTGAATGAGCTGAAGAATTTCCGCGATACTCATATCCAGATGGTCACTCGGTATATCGTCATGACATCCAGGAAGAGTATTCCGGCACAGGAAAGTGACAAGGTCAACTTGGCCACAGCTAGCGCGCAAGGGACCGAGTCTGGGAAACGTCATTCACTTGCTGGTACTGGCGGGACGGACTTGATGCCCTTTTTGAAACAGACCAGGGATACGGTGAGGGATGCGAAGTGCTAGAGGATCCATCGAGACCTCACTTAATGACTGTACGAACTCTTGTTTAGACTACTGTCGGATAAATCTGTTGATACTAGTGTTGTAATTTGATGTCATTTGTTATTGAGACTATCATGCTCTTTAGACCCCTATGAGCTCGTCGAATCGAACAGATAGAAATTAACAAAACACGGAACATCAAATGGTTTGTCCCGAGACTGATAAATGATCGAAGCGGACCGGATTGGTTGTTTCGTCTGATTCTGCGGAGACGTGCTTGGAAATGTGTTGTAAATACACGATCTCAGTCCCTTTGATTTCGTACAGAGATTTGTAAAAGCAGAGAACGGGATGGACGTTTCTATGTCGTAGCCAAGCCGCGACTTCACTTGGTACATGATAGAAAACGTTCTTTGGGGCGGATCGGACGACATGGTCCCCATAGAAGTACTCTCTGCCATCAAGTCTGTTTCAAAGTATTGCACGTAGAAGATGGGCGTGATCATTGGGTTTGAGTCAAGGTATCGAGGTCTTGGGAGTCGTGGAAGATGGTTTGGATCACCAAGCAGGCTGACAGGGCGCATATAGAGGTGTTCTCAACGGAGGCTGCGGTCGGAAAATCCAGTCTGAAAGGCCATTACAGAGTCACAGAGGTCGTTGGCCAAGCGTGTTGTGCATGCGCAAATGAACCAACTCTGCGTTGGTTCGGCCTAGCAAGAATGAGGAAAGATCACCGTCTTTTCGTGTTGGCCGGCACACCCTCACTCTCTCGAAGGTCGGCAAGCAATTTTTCTCTTTCGATCAAGCGGTCCTTCTCCTCTTTAATCATCTGTTCGACTGTCTGGGTGGCTTCAGCCATGCGATCAAGTTCCTTGTTCTCCGTCACCCGGCTATAAGGATTCCCAGGTGTATCACTGTTGGGAATGTGCGCTGTTCGACCCTGACCGAGCTGTTTGGTATTCTTCCCCTTGCTTTTGCCTTGTGCACCGGTAGGGCCCCCGGTAAGCACCTCGTAGAACGGCTCGATGGGCTCATTGAATATGATTTCTTCATAGTTCTGACTGACGACGGTTTCCCGGCGCTCCTTCATTCCCTCCGCATCCGGTCCGTATGGGTGGAGCTTCAAGCTGTGCCAGAGGGTCTGGGGTTTTTCGTTCGACTCCGGGACAAAGTAAAGCTTGAGCTGGATCTCAAACTCACCCCAGCCAGTTTCGGAGACTTCAAAGGGGGGCTGCTCGATGGTGCGCACATTTTGGGCGTAAGTTTCGTGCAGCTTGAACTGGACCTTCTTCAGCCAGTATGAGATATCTTCGCCGTTGACTCCTCGAACAAAGATTTGCCATCGGTGTGTGTGATCCGGAGGACAGTCTTCAGGTTTGTTTTGGGGATCGAAAGGATGCGCAACACTGCCAAATACTGTGTCTGTTAGCTTGAGAAGGAGGCTGGAGACCACGCGATGCGCCTTGAACATACCAAATGGCCGAAAGACTGAGATGCCCTGTTTTTCGCGTTAGTTTGACGTCAGTGCCGTGTTTCAAATCACTTACCCTAACACGCTTGTTTCCTGTTGCAGATGGCATTTTGGAGGTTTAACTCTTTGTGAATGCAGAAAGGTAGAGAGCAGTTGCCCAGATCAAGGGCAGGGAAGTCGCGATGGAAGAAAGATAACCCGAAAGTGGCCCGATACAAGGCGCAGGATACCGAATGACGCTAATCATTCGAGAAACAATAATCTACTTCACTCTTGTTGAACTTCCTTTTTTAAAAAAATTGAAGCTTGAAGTTTCCGTTAACTTCAAATTGTGTCTCCCAGCTTCACAGACAAACACAGTTCATCATCCTTCTGGTTTTCAGTGATATCATCGTCGGTATCAGCTACATCATGGCGGCCAAACGATTAGTTGTCGCCGGAGGAAGCGGCTTTTTGGGTTTGTGAAACTCATACACTTCAATTGGTGAATGCATTCTTCTGACAGGCTTTTCCAGGATCAAGAATCTGTAAATCTGCAGCGGCAAGAGGATGGACCGTCACCTCGTTAAGGTAGCTTCCCCTTGTGCACACCCATGAGACTAAGATACTGATACATTTCTAGTCGATCTGGTGAGCCTCGGTGGGAAACGGTCTCTGATTCTAAAGAAAGGCCCAGTTGGGCAGGCTCTGTGGAATGGGCCAAAGCCGATATCTTGAAGCCCGAAAGCTACAAGTCCTATCTTAACGGTGCTTCGGCCGTTGTGCATACGATGGGCATTTTGCTGGAGGCCGACTACAAGGGCGTCGTTCAAGGAAAAGAACCAATCATCAGTGGACTACAGCGTGCTTTCAGCACTTCCAAGCTTGGCAGTCAAAATCCTTTGGCGAGACGAGAAGGCGAGGCGTTGCAACCCAAGGAAAGCGACGGCCAATTAACATACGAATTGATGAACAGGGACTCAGGTGTGTAAAAATGATCCCTGTCTCGAGTTATTCAGGAAGCTAATATGCCATTGTCGTAGCTATTGCGTTAGCTCAAGAATCCACTAATGAACATGTTCCGGCCTTCGTTTACATCTCTGCTGCTGCAGGCGCACCGCTTCTGCCGGCCAGATACATCAGTACCAAGAGAGACGCAGAGGCAGCCATCACATCCACCCTCCCGGACCTACGGAGCATCTTCATCCGCCCAGGTTTCATGTACGACTCCAGCCGAAAATTCACGTTGCCAATCGCAATGGGTGGATTTGTTGCATCTGAGTTCAACACCTTCCTCGGAAACAAGCTTGGCTTCCTCGGGGCTATGGCTGAAAAGCCTCTCAAAGTTGATGTTGTAAGCGAAGCAGTGGTCGAGGCGCTAGAAGATGAGTCCACTAAGGGTGCAGTTGGTACAAAGCAGATTGAGGCACTTGCAACAAAAGCCTGGCGGAAGACGATGCTCTAAGTCTGTCGAAAGAGCAACCTTGTTGTATGTAAGATATTTTGCGAGAACTCGGGAAAATGGTTGGAATCTCTGCTAGTGAATTGACATCCGGTGCCTCGGAGCATGACTCTTATTCTCCGCCATGTAGTAAACAGTCGCAGTCAATTTCATATCCACGTTAAATCATAGTGCCGCGTTCGAAGCTGTCTCGGATCTCCGTTGTGTACTGGAAAAGAGATTAGTATAAGCCATTTTGTGGAATAGAAGTATAAGCTGACCTTGTTATAGAAGCGAGCCAGCTTTTGGTTGAACTGCTTATTCTTCTCGTTGATGTATGTCACATCCGAGTCATCGTCGCCACCACGGCGCTCCTTGCGTTTCTTCAAGCGCACCTCCTCTGCCTTGTGGATATCGCCGACCAGTCTGTCAACAGCAGAACGGTCCGGTTTGCTGTCTGTGAAGCCTGTTGAGTCTGCAGTAGAGTAGAAGCTCCCATTCTTATCGACTGCAATCATTTCACCATCTTCGGTCTCCACAATTTCAAGATCTCCACTTGCTGCGGCTCTTTCGATAGCAGCAAGTTTTTCCTTTTCGTATGCTTCGATATTCGGGGGGAGATCTCGTAGTTGTCTTTTGTAGACCTTTCGGGCATCCTGGGAATAATCCTGGAAAGCCACATCCTTTCGGTGGCGCGACTTCTTATCCATGCGCTTGTCCCATTTCTCGGATTCGTCAACGGTCCAGTCCCATGCGCGCTTGCGCTCGAAGTCTTCACCAGCTGCTTCGGTGTCTGCTTTGAGGAGGTTGTGGGAAGCAAATGCGTGCTTGCGAGATAAGTTGTTCAGCAATGCCGGGTCGGTGGTCAAGCGCTGAGATTCAGCTGCGGTCTCTTTGAGGTTGCGTTCAGTCGCGGATTTCTGAACATTGTCAGTTATACAATCATTGGGACCAGGCCCGTGGGCCAGTTTCAGTTGGGGGTCACCTACAGCTCGAGCTTGCAGGGCTTTGAATCTGGCCATTCTATCGTTCGCTTGAGGTGCAGCAGCATCCTTCTGTTCTTCTGAAGGAGCATCTCCCTTCTCGGCGGGGCTGTCGGCGGGTGATTCGCGGGTGTCCTCGTTCTCGGTCGGCTGCTCAAGAACTGGCTCTTCTTTGCCCTCGTCCTGGGCAGACTTCTCTGCATTTCGTGTTCGAACCATGCTGATCGAATGTTGCCGAAGCTAGCAGTGAACTCGAATAAAATTTGGTGAGTCCTTGGTATCTGCAAGGTCAAATAGCCAGACTTGACTGAAAGATGAGGTAAAAGCGTGACTGCGGCCCGTGGTACCGCTTCCGGCACCGCTCTTGTTCTGCTGGACAAACCCCAGAATCCACCCCTTATCGCCGTGTTTATCTTCTCCACATCTTCCGATCAGCCATTCCATACTCCGTACTGCGTGCTCCGTGCCTCCATACCAGATGGGAGGCCCGCATAGTCAACTTGTGCTACGCACAGCACGAATCCAGCCTGCCTGCTCAAAATTACCACGATTGGTGCGCAATCTGTATAATGCGGCTCCATCCTCGAAACAACTACATGACCCATCGCCGTCAGAGTTATTACGGTTCATATTGACAGATTCAATCAAGCCAATTGAGAGCTCAAATGCTGATCTTGCATCATCTTCATACCTTCGGGAACTCTTTTCTCACCCATGGAAGTCTAATTCTCCTCCTCCTCCGTTGTGGACTTCCCTCAAAGGGCTAGCCCCGCACAACGAAGGGCTGTTGCAAGGACTCGAGGCTCCAAACGCCGGCATATCTGCCCTCAAAAGTCTGGTGGAAAGATATGCAAATGATGAGCATGGAGCTGCGCTCTTACAGGCTCAAAATGGGACATTTCTCCGACTTGCGCTGCAGCGTTGTCAACTGCAAAATAACTTGCCTGAAATTATTTCCGTGATAAGCGATATTATTGCAAGACTCGATCGCCTTCAACTTCCCGTTCAACCGGGCACTTATGCCACAGGGATTTCCTTTGCAATGCTCCAGCTTTCCGCTCCTGCTCTAGGGCAATTCGTAGGAGCTCATCGTTTGAAGGGTATGTCGGCCATAGGTCTAAGGGAAAGTGTGCGCATAGTCAAGAATTGCTCCGATGCACTTGATCACAAGGTTTTCGAGGACTCACATTATGATCGATGTCTCATGCTTGCAGCAATCACTGGAGAGGGAGACCTTGTTCCTCATGACAATATCAGACTGCATGACAGTTTGTACTGGACGCAGCCCAGTGACAAGAACGACATACGATATACTTCTCAACTTAGTGCTCAAGACTACATTAGCCTTCTTGCCAAGCTTGGAAGTGGTGAAGTCTTTCATACTTGCTGGAGCAGCTTTTTGAAAAACGTCCAGCCCAAGAATCACCACAGCTGCTTTGCTGCCTATCAAGTGGTGCTGGCCTTGATCCAAAGTACCAACCCCGAGGTCGCAGTGAACTACCTGGAACAGGTCTCTCAACTTTGCGGTGACAACTTGCCTTTTATTGCGAGATTCCCAAATCTCCAAATATTGATTGATGACCCAGTTGTAGGCGATGCCCTGCCTGATTTGGTGAGGGGCGAAGACTATATCGAGCTACTCGACGTTGAGCTTGATAATATGGACCAGCGAATGGGACTACAGTGGAACTCAGACTGCCAAGAACATTCAAGCGCAGCCCTAGAGCCCTCGGAAGCAATCCGGGAAGCCTTGGGGGATCAATACGTGCCCAATGTTGGTGTCGGATCTGCCGACTCAAACAACGCTACTCGTACGCAATTATGGGCCGAGCTTCGCGCTCGCGGCTGTTCCAAATCACCAGCTGCATTGAACGGGATCGTCGATCTACTGCATGATTACAATGGACAATCGGTCGAGGTAGCCACGCACCTTGATTACAGCAAAGAGCGACTGCGGGAATTCCGCTCGAGGTTCGGATCTGTTGAATTTCGGTGGGCGCCCGAGCACTCACCGATCGAATTCTCTGACTCTCGCATTCCCCTTTTGCATGAATTCACCAGACCGCGCACTCCATTGAATCTCGGGCTCATTCGGGCCCGTTTGATAGTTAGTGGCGTACCTCAGTCGGGCGCAAGTTCTTTACATTTGATGCAACTCGGTAACATATATCTGCGATATGGACTAGATGAGCCGTGGCAGTTATCTGGATATATCCTTGTGTGGGACCGTCATCTCGGTGAGCTGCTTGGGCTTTATGTCGGGCAGACCTCGGGGGTTATTGACTCTGGACCAGCGTCGGTTGGCCCGTTTGGTGCTTTGATGCACATCAGTCCCTCATCAAATGCCGGTGAAAGAACATCATTGAATGATATGGCGACTCGCAATTGCTGGGGTCCTTACTACCTGGATATTGATCCATGTCTCGATCTAGAGTACGGTCTTTCCGGTGAAACGGAGCAATGTGAAAATCCGTAAGGCTTGAACTGCCCGTTGGGCCTTCAGGCTTTCAACTTCTCGTCTTTCTAAAGTTCTAGCAAGATATGTGACCAGTAATAGTCAAGTTCTCCGGCCGTAGCTCTAGAGGCATTTGGTGCTTGAAAGTAAAAACAGAATAATCAAAATTAAAAATTAAAAATTAAAAACGACAGGCTCGCGGGGCCGATCAAGGACGCGCAGAAGGGTTATAAGGAGACGAGTCAAGGTATCTCAACCAAGATGCAACTCAAGCATAATTGCGCTATGTGATGCATGCCGCATATCGTCCAGTAGGAGCTAGCGAGTTGCCTGGAGGCAACCTGGTCAAACCACTCCAACGGGGATATTCCCTGCCAATCGACAACGTTCGCCGATCGTCTCAACACGTCCCAATTCGCTTATAGGTTCAGTGAGACGCACTTTCGCGGCTTGTTTCCACAAGGTCACACGATTTGCCAAGATCACCAAATGGCTCCGAATTGAAGCCTTACAGCACTCGTGCGCTGTATGCACTTGACTCAACAAGGGATATCCGATCGAACATCTCTTCCGGTTCGGTCTCCTTGTGCGACGATGGGCACATGGGACGTGATCGTCGCCTGCAGTGGCATGCAGAGCACAGTGGCTCCATGAGCCTCGACTTGCTGAAAAGCCAGCGCAGCCACACCTCCCAGCTGCATGCCGCAAAGTCTGACTCTGTGGGTCTTTTTTAGTACGTTTCTGGGGCCCGGCAATTTTAGTGAGGACCGGCAATTTGATTTTGCAGCCGTTCAAGAGGTCGTGATTGGTGTACGTTGCAAAGCTTGCATGATCATGAAGCCAGCAAATCCCTTTTACCGCATCTGTCGATCGATTCTGTTATTTGAGTCGTCTTGAGACCTCTGCCTTCTGGCAAGGATACGAATCTCCAGTGTGGGCTTTTTATGGAGGGCTCCGTATGGAGTTACTCCATACAGCGCTGCAAACACATCCATCCGCTCTTCATGGCCTTCACTATCCCAAGTCTACTCTGACTAGTACACTGTGCTTTCTATCGCCGAACCCAGCTCGCTAGTTGTTAGCGACAACAGGGTGTGGAGGCAGGTGCAGGGACCCATTGGAGCTCGTTTATCTACACCCATCGTTCGTTCGTTCAAGCCACCACAGCTGCCTTGCCGATCGATCGGACAGACCCTTGGTCCATTGGAAGTGTCAAAAATCCACCCGGACCCACGAGAAATGGTCAGAGCGTATTCCTGAAACACTCATTGACTTTCAATTCCTGGAAAGCTTCGGGGTACGGAGGTATGTATCCGTACTGGAAGGCTGGAAGGTAGAACCATCTCCTCGGAGGGCCTGTGGGATGAGTCGAATGCTGCCACTGACGCAAGTGAGGAGACAGTTCCCAGATCCCCCGTTGTGGAGGATCTTTCGCGCCAAGCAATAGTACGCCAATCATCGCGGCTCCCGAAAATCTGCTGTCCCATTGCCTGTTCTTGTCGGTCAGCTTTCAATCTAAAGCTGTTCCTGGGAATCTATACAACAGTGACCCTGACTCTATAAAGCGGAGATCTAGGTTTTTTCCTCTACACCGTATCAAGGTCTACTGTGAAGTACTATGGAGCATGGAGTACAGAGTAGAGGGTAGGACGAGTCCCCCTGCTCATTTGGTCCGCAAAAAGGAAACACGAGACTTTCTTACTAGTATTTTTTTCCCAAGGGATAAAACATCAGCTAAAACTCCAGACGCCTATTTGCTAGGAAATTCATCCCGTCTCATCCCACAATGCATTTCTGACCGTCTTTCACCTTCGGGCGCCAGTTTCTGTCAGGAACATGGCCATTCAGCTCGGAGTACGCACTATCACCATGCAGACACAGCCGAATATCCACAAATCCACAAGCGCTCTGGCAAATGCCCGCTCGGCCCGTTCCCCCGGCTCTTCCCTTTTGCCATTACTCGGTGGATACAAGTGCCACTCGTACATGATACATGTGCGCTAAGTTCTGCGAAAAAATTGGAAATAAAAAAAAAAAAACACAGAGATCAAAAAACAAAAACAAAAAATAGAGTACTCTTTCAATATCCCCGTTCCCACTTCACATTCCCTGTCACATTCAAGTCATTGGACAGGGGAGACCGGGGCAAATCTTACGAAAAATATTAGTTGAACCTCCCACCCCCTCAAAACGCAAGTATATACGATTTTCACAAGGCTATGGAGCCTTACTGTTGAGCTGCATTCACATGCGGTTTATCAAATGTCTTGACCGCAGGCAAATCCAGGATATGCATCTATGACCCGATGCTGATTTTTGGAATTCTTTCGCTTCACTCGTTTATCCTTCTGAGCATATACAATCGCGCGGAACAGAAGATATCATTTGGTATACGAGATTCAATGCCTTCGCTTCGCCGTCGTCCGAATAAGGCAAAACATAAACTATAACACAAGGAGTTTTCCTGCTCAACTCTAATGGCATGGACATCTTTATCGACAACAAGGGCGGTCAGTACCTTGAGTACAACATCATCGGTGGTGTTCTTGATTTCTACTTCATTGCAGGCCCCTCTCCTCGCGATGTGGCCATGCAGTACGCAGAAATCACCCAGCTCCCATTGATGACCCCTTACTGGGGACTCGGATACCACCAGTGTAAATATGGCTACCAGGATGTTTACGAGGTCGCCGCGGTCACCGCCAACTATTCCACCAACAACATTCCTCTGGAGACCATTTGGACAGACATTGATTACATGGATCGCCGACGAATTTTCACCATTGACCCTGAAAGATTCCCAGCCAATTTGTACAAAGACCTGGTGGACACTATCCACGCCAGGGATCAGCACTACATCGTCATGGTTGATCCCGCCGTCTTCTACAAGGAGTCCAACCCGGCGCTCGATGCAGGTCTCAAATACGGCACTTTCATGAAAGAGAAGAATGGCTCCGAATACCAGGGAGTCGTTTGGGCCGGTCCCAGCTACTTCCCCGACTGGTTCCACCCCGATGCACAGAAGTACTGGACCGAGCAGTTCGTGGAGTTCTTCGACGGCACGAATGGCCCCGACATCGATGCTCTTTGGATTGATATGAACGAACCGGCAAACTTCTTCAACCGCCCATACCCAGGCAACAACACCACCCCAGAGAAGTTTGCAGAGGTGGATGGTGACCCTCCCCAGGCACCCCCAGTCCGTGATGGCCCAGATGCCCCGATTCCTGGATTCCCAGACAGTCTGCAGCCGAACTTTGCTTCAGGCAACGACGAGAAGCGTGCAGATGCTGTCGTTCAGAAGCGTCAACCACAATCTCATTCCCGTCGCAACCTCGGTGCTGGCCATTGGCGCTCCGCCAGGTCGACCGAGACCTCTTCCAAGGCCGGCTGGCAGAATGGTGGAAAGACTGGCTCTGGATGTGGACCCGATGAGTGCAAGGGTCTTCCCAATCGCACTTTCATTCGCCCTCCTTTCATGATTCAGAACGGCGCTGGGCCCACCCTTGCTGATAGCACTGCTGACACCGACCTGGTGCAGAGTGGTGGATACGTTCAATACGACACTCACAATCTCTACGGTGCTATGATGTCTTCGCATTCACACAACGCCATGCGTGCCAGACGTCCGGATGACCGCGCTTTGGTCATCACGAGAAGCACATTCGCCGGCTCCGGCAAGGATGTGTCTCACTGGCTTGGAGGTAAGAACGGACTCTTCTTCCTTCGAAAAGATCCCCATGCTAATTAATGAATAGATAACATTTCTGGATGGCTCTGGTACCGTCTTTCCATCAGTCAGATTCTTCAATTTGCATCTCTGTACCAAGTTCCTGTCGTTGGTCCTGATGTTTGCGGTTTCGGCGGCAATGTCACCGAGACACTCTGTGCTAGGTAAGCATTGGACCTCTCTACACGGCTAAATTACTCTAACAAAGATAAAAACAACAGATGGGCATCTCTCGGCTCCTTCTACACTTTCTTCCGCAACCACGCCGAGATCTCCGCGACTCCCCAAGAGTTCTACCGCTGGCCAACAGTCGCTGAGGCTGCCCGCAAGGGCATTGCCATCAGATATCAACTTCGTAAGTGATCTGAACACACTATACTCCAACAAAGACCTGAAACTGACAATGATCCAGTCGACTATATCTACACAGCCATCTACAAGCAGAACCAGACCGGCACCCCATCCCTCAACCCTCTGTTCTTCAACTACCCCAACGACCCTAACACTTACCCCATCGATCTTCAATTCTTCTACGGTGATGGTATCCTGGTCAGCCCCGTCACAGAGGAGAACAGCACAAGTCTGAGCTACTACCTCCCCGACGACATCTTCTACGAGTGGGGCACCGGCAAGCCCGTCCGCGGACATGGCGAGTACGTCTCTGCCGAGGTCGACTACACCGACATCACAGTCCACTACAAGGGAGGCATCGTTTATCCCCAGCGTATCGAGAGCGCCAACACCACTACCGCCCTGCGCAAGAAGGGCTTCAACATTGTTATTGCGCCTGGTCTTGATGGCCATGCTGAGGGCTCGCTTTACCTCGATGATGGCAAGTCGGCTGTGCAGGATGCTGTTTCTGAAATTGATTTCAGTTACGCTCATGGCAAACTCAGTATGACTGGCTCGTTTGAATATGATGCTGGTGTTTCTATTGAGTCTGTTACTGTTCTTGGTGTTGGGAAGAAGCCGAAGGGACTCCGTGATACTGATTACGATGCTGAGAATAAGAAGCTGGTGGTTCATGTTGATGTGCCACTCAAGGGTCGGGCATCGATTAAGGTTGCATGATCTGACTATAGGGTTGATATCATTGCTCGTTAAAGCAGTTGCTTAAATACACACATTCAATATTCAGTACCGTGCGATCGATTTTCTTTCTTGCTGGTTTTCAGATTATTGTAGTCATTCAAAGTCGGGCTTGTATGGCCATACATTGATAAAATGCGTACGAGTACGTGTACGAAGGGGCAGAGCGGCCAGGTCGGCAACGGTGGGTATGGGGTATGGTGGGGCGGTGAGCCTTGGCAGTAGCGGGGATTGGTTGGATATGTGACAAGATCCACTTGTAACAAACATACAAAGCCTGGTTGGCCGAGTGGTTTAAGGCACTGCGGGGGCGTACCAACCCGGGAGTGTGTCACCGCATAAGCGTGTGCTCCGAAGGTGTTGGCGCGTCCCCCAGAGACCCCTGGTTCGAATCCAGGACCGGGTATTTCTTTTTTTCTTTTTCCTTTTCTTTTTCAAAGACAAATACTTCATTTGGATTCTATGCATTGGTGATTCCTCTATCTCTGGTTTCTGCCAGAAGCCAGTCAATGCAATCAAGCAGGACTCAGGCAAGGGTATCATTCGACCTGGCCTCTCAGCCCCTTCGTAAATGTGTTGCTTCTTCGTAAATAACAGCATACCGGGAATGGGGAAGTTCTAAGTTATGCTCAATGACTATACCAGTCGCTATATACTGATCTCACAACGTATATATTCAAGATGTCGCTTTAACAACAGCGCTGATGCTTTGGACAACATATTCGAGGTTGAAGTCGTTAAGCCCACTAAAACATATGTTAGCTCCAATTTTCAAACATTTTCCTAAGGTCCCAAAGTGTTCAACATACGCAATAGAAATTCTCCCAGTGTCTTGGAGATAGATATGATACTTCTCCCGCAGGAGAGTAACCTGTTCCACAGACAATCCAACATATCTAGATCAAGTTAATACAAACCACAGCAGAACCAGATTGGCAATACTCACGAAAACATCCCATTCTGCTCAGTGATATGCTTCCAACTCCCCGGCGTCTCCAACTTCTCCAATCCCTCCCTCAGCGCACGTCTCCGATGCTTGAGTCGCTCAGCCATATCGCGTACTTCACCCCGCCATTGACGCTCCAAGGCCTCATCAGCCAGAACAGTCTCAACAAGTTTCGATCCAAAATCAGGCGGCGAACCTGTCTCTGCGCGCGCTAGCAGTTTCAACTGCACTTCGATTCTCTTCCCGACTTCCTCGCTGGAAGCTAGAACTGAGAGAATTCCAACTCGCTCACTGTATAGTCCAAAGGATTTACCGTAGGTGGAGGCGAAAACTAAGGGAATTTCCTGCTCGGCGAAGAGTCGGACACTGGCTAGATCTTCGTCGATGTCTCCAGATGCAAAGCCGGGATAGGCAGCGTCAAAGAATGCAAGGTGGCCTCGTTGCAGGAAGATTGATGCCAGCTCGCGCCATTGGTCTAGTGAGGGATCACAGCCAGTTGGGTTCTGGGCTCCGGATTGAAGAAGGACCACAGATTGAGCGGGTAGGGATCTGATGGCGTCTGCATATCTTTCGAAGTCAAATGTGTTTTTCTTGCTGCTGAAGTATGGGAGGAGACTGGTCTTGATTCCTACAGCCTGGAATACGTAGGGATGGTTCAACCAGGTCTCGCTTGGGAGGAAGATCTCTGCATTGCCAGTCTGCTTCCAGGGTCCATAGTGGTTCTTCAATAGAGCTGCTCCGACGTGGCATCCACCGCTTGCGCCGAGGGTTTGTGTGGAAACGATCCTGATGTTATGTTTAGTTTTGGGTTTCTCTTTTCTTGAACAAAGTAGTCTTGTACCTTTTCTCCCGTACTAGACGGTGGTCACCAAAAAGCAACTTGTGACTCAAGTCCCTATACGCCTGGGAGCCTTGAGCAGAAGGACGATATTCATGATGCCAGTCTGGATCATTGAAGATCCTCTTCTTTGCCTGGTATCCACGTTTTAGCTGTGACCAGCATGTAATGTCTACCAAGTAGGAACTATACCTCTTTCACACTTGGCAGCACATATGCCTTCCCTTCATCGGTCTTATACACGCCCACCAGCAGACTGGTTCGCTTGGGATCGGTATCAGCCCGGAATTTGGTAACCAGGGCCTCGAGGGGTTCTAGACTTTGTAATTAGCATCAATTGTTGTCGAGTACATCAAAAAGCCAATTGTACCTTTGCGACCCTCGGGGATATCCTGAAAAGGATCAATTGCTGCTATGCTTCCCATATTGAAGTGAATTTCAGATACCTGAAGTCGTCGAGATCTGCGGGGAAAAGTAGGATTAATTGTACCTTTTATGCGGAGAGAGCACGCTGCGACACGCCATCATGTTGCCATATGAGCAATCCTACTTAAGTATCTTTACTATACGATTTCGCCATTACTTAGTACAATTACTTGAGCACTAAGCATTGCAACGCTTCGGTGGGTTTTGGGAATTAATACCCTCCGTCTTGGTAATCACGTTGAAAGAGCCAAATGGTCAATGGAGAGCCCTGGCTCGAAAAGAAAAAAGGTAGAGGATTCAATCAGCCCTTATTAAATATATCGAACCAATTGTTCTAACGCCAATTCCAAGTCAACTTCTACTACCCCTGCATTACACCCTATGCGAATCCAATTTCGCCTACAATTTGCGTCCAATCTTTTGCTCCACGGCAGCTTTCAAATCTTCACCGGTAGGCATGGTGGCGGTACTGCCACGGCGTCCCCGGGATTCAATCTCAGCTTTGATCTCCGCAACAGCCTCATCAAAGTCCCGTTCTGGGTCGTTAGGCAGACCCAGGACTGGCGGGCGAACAGAGTCGGTACTGGCGGTGCGACCAAGGTGGGGCTTGTTGCGGCGCTTCAATCGGGACACAAGGTAGCCCTTGAGGGGAGAGAAGGAAGCGAAAGCAACCAGGGAGACGGCACAGTTGATGATACCGTAGTAACGAACCCGACTCCAGACGGTGATAGACTCGTTGAATCTTAGAAGAACAAAGGGCATCACAGCGTAAGAGAGGGTCAGTTGAGTGGCCAGCCAGCTGAGAATATCGTAGTAGCGTTTGTTCGCCATGGGCTTGGTTCCATCTGGAGTCAGGAAGAAGGGGCGGACGTAGCGACGGAAGTCTGTCAATCATTAGTATTGGAGGCTGCGGACTGCAGAAATTGGACTTACTCTTGGCGACAGTCTGAATGAACGAGCCCAGGATGAACGTCATATAGTATCCGGGGTAGAAACCGTGCCAGAGCGCACTGGTAGCAAAGGTCGCCATGCTAGCACGGAACCCGGGCTTCTTGCCCTTGGGCGTCACACGGAGGTACACATAGTTGCGCAGCCAGTGGTTGGTGTTCTTGTTCCAGCTACCCAGATAAGCGTGGGAGTTCTGGGCTGTCTCGAGACCCCAAGGATCGACGTTCTCCAGTCGGTTCCAGAAAACTTTACCTGACTTGGGATCAAAGCTGTTGTATCCCATACCGGACAGAATGCATGCACCCTCGGTCAAAGCCCATACACCGTAGTATTTGGTGCGCGCGGTGAAGCCTACCATGTGCACAGTAAACATGCGACGCAGGAAGGAGTACTGCAAGAATGAGTCGGATAGCAGGAAATCAGTGGTGAAGTATGAGCCTAGCTGGATGAAAGCCAAAATCCAGATGAGTCCCACAGCTGCTTTCTTCGCAGCGGGCGTTCCACTGCGAGGAATCTTGCGCTTCTTGCGGGTGGCGGGGACCTTGGATGGATCCGTGCCGGGTGGCACATCGAACAGGGTTGTGTCGATCCAGCGACGATAGTCCACATATTCGAAGGATGGGCCCGCGAAGAGGGAGGGGAAGAACATCACATAGCCCAGGTAGTCCACGATAGCTGGGAACTTGGTGATGGCGGAGTACTTCTGCGGGTCTGACAGCTTATCTTGCGCCAGACGGCCATCGTGCACATTCCAACAGAACGAGGTGAGCTTCATAACGAGGACCATCTGCGCGCCTGTAATGTCCACCGTGGCACCGTCGTTGGCCATCTGACGGAAGATGTGGTTGACGGACATGTGGCCCATCAGGAACAAGAAGCCAATCCAGGGCATCAGGGATCCGTCCACGTAGTATGCGATCGCGTAGGTTCCGGCGGCGCTGTAGAGTAACGTGCGTAGTCCATCCCAGAGGTCGAACAGTCCCACGAGGTAGAACAACGACACTCCGATGATGAAGACATTCTTCTTCCAAGGCTGGGCGTCGGGGATGCGTTTGAGGAGAGCTGCCAAAGGGTAGGACAGCAAGAAAGAGCCGATCAGCTTGACTGCAGAGGGTCAGAAACCAGTCACATCGTCACAATCATGGTAAATGGTAGGTCGTACGCTCATCGATCGATGCGCCAGTGAGCCGAGCTGGCAGCTCGAATACTGCGGGGAGTTAGCAATGACCGAGGTTAACAGGGATGAGGGACTTACTCTGATCTACATACGGTAGCATGATCGAACAGAAACAAAAACAAGAAAAGAAGAGACGAAAGCAAAGAACAGAAAGAGAGAAGAAGAAAAGAGAACAAAAAAAAGTCCAGAGGAACACGGTGTGGGAACGCGGTATCCCCAACAACTTCCCGCTCTCCACTCCACTACTTGTACACAACTGTCCACTGTCTACTTACTGTCTACTGTCTACTTCTACTGACTTTACTATTTACTCTCACTGGGTCTGCGGCAATGGACGTCGTCACGGCAGCCTCGGGGTACATCTCCAAGATGGTCACCGTGGGCGAGGCCACCGCATCCAAGATGAAGATCCTCCTGTTGGACAGTGAGACAGTAAGGATCCCCAGCTGATCCATCTGATCACAGCTAATACAGGGCAGGTCCCCATTGTCTCAACGGCCATCACGCAGTCCGCCCTTCTGAATCACGAGGTCTACCTGATCGACCGCCTGGACAATGCCGCGCGCGAGAAGATGCGCCATTTGCGATGCATATGCTTTGTGCGCCCATCCCCTACCTCCATCCAGTACCTGATCGACGAGCTCCGCGAACCCAAATACGGCGAATATTACATCTTCCTAAGCAACATCATCCGCAAATCCGCCCTCGAACGATTGGCCGAAGCCGACAGCCATGAAGTCGTGCAGCTGGTCCAGGAACAATTTGCCGACTTTCTGGTCACAAACCCGGATCTCTGCTCGCTGGGTATGGGCTTCCCATTACAGAGGATATGGAGCCACTCGCCCGACCTGTGGAATCCGGATTCTCTGCAGAGAGCCACGGAGGGCGCGCTAGCCCTGCTGCTGGCTTTAAAGAAGAACCCCCTTATTCGATACGAGAAGAACAGTCTACTGGCCCGGAAGCTGGCCACCGAGGTCCGATACCATATCACGCAGGAGGAACAACTGTTTAATTTCCGCCGGACGGATACCCCGCCTATCCTGCTTGTGCTGGACCGCCGCGACGATCCCATCACCCCACTGCTCACTCAGTGGACATATCAGGCAATGGTTCATGAAATGCTTGGCATCAATAATGGTCGGGTCAATTTAAACGATGTCCCCGAGATTCGACCCGAGCTGAAGGAGATCGTCTTGGCTCAGGACCAAGATCCGTTCTTTAAGAAGAACATGTATCAGAACTTTGGTGACCTGGGCCAGAATATTAAAGAATATGTGGAGCAGTATCAAACAAAAACGCAGAGCACGGCCAATATCGAATCCATCACCGACATGAAGCGCTTTGTGGAGGACTACCCGGAGTTCCGAAAGCTGGCAGGCAATGTGAGCAAGCATGTTACCCTAGTTGGTGAACTCAGTCGGCAAGTCGGGGAGCACACTCTCCTTGACGTGAGTGAGTTGGAGCAAAGTCTCGCATGCAGTGATAACCACTCCAATGACCTCAAGGTACGATTTCAACCCAATAACCAAACTTTTCCCCCCTCACTCACATTATTCAGTCCCTTCAACGGATCATCGGTCTACCTAATGTGCCGGCAGATAACAAGCTGCGCTTAGTAGCTCTCTATGCCCTCCGTTATGAAAAGCTACCCAACCACGCCCTCCCTATTCTTCTCGACCTCCTCGTGACAGCCGGTGATGTCCCCTCCAACCGCGTCAACCTCATCCCCAAACTCCTCGCCTACCACCACTCTCTCCAAGCTCCCCCTGTAGCAGGAGGATTCTCCGATCTCTTCGAATCAACCTCCTTCTTCTCTGGCGCACGAGACCGCTTCAAGGGTCTTAAGGGCGTTGAAAATGTTTATACCCAACACTCTCCCCGATTGGAGGTGACTCTTCAAAACCTGATTAAAGGTCGCCTCAAAGAACTCCAGTATCCCTTCTTGGAAGGCAGCGGGCATACTCGCGACAAGCCACAGGATATTATCATCTTTATGGTTGGCGGTGTTACCTATGAAGAAGCTAAGATGGTGGCCCAGGTCAATGCCAGCTCCCCTGGTGTCCGGGTGGTCCTGGGGGGTACTTCGATTCACAACAGTACGACTTTCCTGGAGGAGGTCGATGATGCAGTGAGCAACTGGCCCGAACCAGGGCCCTCGACGGCTGCGGGACGGCTGCGACGGGAAGTTGGTCGTTAGTATATAATGGTTGTATTAATTGGGCATAATCCAAGATTCAAGTCAAAAGCGAAGAAGAGAGTAGAGAGAAGAGAGAAAGAGAGAAGAGGGACAGTAGAGTAGAAGAGTAGAAGCCAAAAGCGGAGAGACCAATGTGGGGGATGCGGAGAACGACAGAATCCAATTTCCCTTCCAACAATGTTTAACAATGGAACACACTTCTCCAAAAGGAGGTCCTGCCTCCCCTGCAGAACCAAGACTGCATCTCCCTTCAACAACTGATCCTCCAGGTCCTCAAAATCCCCCTAAACCCCTCGTATGGCTGGTACGATCTCCCCTCCCCCACCACTCAACACCAACTAACCCAACGTCAGATCTTCGGCGCAACAGGCCACATGGGCCGCTCCCTGGTGAAAACAGCCCTCTCCCACAACGACCTAGTCGCAGCCGTAGGCCGCACATACGAAAACAGCCCCGAAGCAATGAAAGAGCTTGAATCCGAACACGAGAACTGCATGGGTCTTCTCTGCGACGTGCGAGCCCGCGAGACAGTCAAACGCGTCATAGACGCCACAATAGCCCGCTTCGGCCACATCGACGTGATAGCAAACTGTTCAGGGTACGGCGTCATCGGCGCCTGTGAAGATCAAGACGAGTTCGATATCAGGAACCAGTTTGAGACAAACTTCACAGGGACATTGAATATGATTCAGCTTTCTTTGCCGCATTTCCGGCAGCGGCGAGCGGGGAGATATTTGATTTTCAGTTCGACTTCGGGGGCCCTTGGTGTGCCCGGGTTGGGCCCTTACTGTGCTTCCAAGTATGCGGTTGAGGGTTTGATGGAGAGTATGCTTTATGAGGTTGATAGCTTCAATATTAAAGGGACGCTCGTGGAACCGGGGCATATGCGTCGTGATGATATTGCGGATTTGGTCTCGCCTTCTGCTATGGCGGCTAATCCGGAACAGAATTTGTCGTCGCCGTTGCCGCTGTATGGTCACTTCTTGGTTAAACCGCCCAGTGAGCCGTATAATACTTCTACCTCGCCTGCTGCGCATGCTCGTCGCATGTTGATGTGGTTGGGTGATAAGCAGCCTGCTAGTGCTGTGAAGGCGGCTCATTTGGTCTGGCAGCTGGGTCATTGCTCTTATCCTCCCTTGAGATTGATCTTGGGAACATATGCGGTGGAGAGTATCAGGGATCGGTTGAAGTGTATCATTGAGGAGATTGAGGATTGGAAGCATCTGAGCTTTCCTTTGGAACCGCAGCAGACTGGGCGAGATAGAGAAGGAAGTGACAATGGCGGATGATCTGCCACAATATGATACCCAACTCAATCCTCTGACCTTAATTCTTTCAGTCAGTCTTGGCTCCTGTTACGGTTGCCGTATCCTCAAGTTGGAGCAGAGGATAAATGGAGAGGAGAGCTCTGTCGTAGCCCAAATAATGTACAGTCTAACTCTATAAATACATCATGATAGTGAAATCAGAAAACAACATTGACCAGCTTCCCCTTGACAACAATCACTCGTCGCCTCTTTTCCCAATCGTTCTTCTCACAGAGCCACGATCTACCCTCAGCAGTCTCCAAGACTCGACTGACGATCCAATCCTGTTCTTCCTGCGAGAGGCCTTTCTTGCTCTGCGGAGATGCTGATTCCATGCTCGGGATAGTGACAGCACATCGGAGCTTGCCATTGATTTGAAGAGCGATCGTTTGGCCACCACGAGAAGAGAGGGTTTCGACTTGCTCTGGTGAGAGAAGTGTGCTTGGCCAAGGGGATGTGAGGATGGATGATGCAGTGGTACTGGTGTGTAGAACCTCCCATGACTCGGAGGCCAGAGCTGGGGCAATAGGAGCCAGCAGACGAAGGAGAGATGAGATGGAGAGGTAGGTGATGGCAGGGGAGGAGGGGGGTGTCGAGGCAAGAGCATTGGTTAGTTTGATTAGGTCTGATACAACGGTGTTCAGACCGTAGGGGTTGCTTTCAATGCATGTAGTGACTGATGCGATGGTATTGTGAGTGGCCAGTACAGCGTCAGCGTCAGCGTCACTGAGGTCCTGGAGAGAGGGTGGGAGGAGAGTAGCAGGGCTGTTGGAAGCTTGGACATCGGAGATGGCAAACGAGGAATTGGCCAGAGATTGCTGGGTATCTTGGACGAGCTTCCAGAGTCGACCGAACCAGCGCTCGACTCCTACGATCTTAGTTTCATCCCACTCCAAAACCTCGCTGACTGGTGCGGAGAATAGGATATGCGCGCGGGTGGCATCGGCACCATATTTAGCTGTAGTCAGCGTTGGGTCCACGCCATTGTACTTGCTCTTTGACATCTTCTCGAAAGAGATGCTAGGCGAGACTTGCGTTCCCTTGATCAGGGGCTTGTCTGGACGTGTGAGATCAACTTCCTCAGGCAGAAGGAAACGTCCTGTGGAGGGCTCGGTAAAGGTCTTGCCATGTACCATGCCTTGGCTGAGGAGGATTTTGAAGGGTTCTGCGCCGGCAGATTGTCCGGCTGGGAACAATTCTGATCCAGCAAGGAATTTATAGATGAATCGAGCGTAGAGTAGATGCAGAATTGCATGCTCCACGCCACCAATGTAGAAATCAACTGGCTGAGCTGATTTAGGAGAGAATGGAAGTTGTTTGTTGGCCGGATCCAAGAAGCGCAAGAAGTACCAGGATGAGTCCACAAATGTATCCATGGTGTCTGTATCCCGCTTGGCTGGTCCTCCGCAGCTGGGACATTTGGTGTGTAGCCATTCTTCCGACGTTTCCAGTGGGTTGCCCTTCTTGCCCTTGAGCCAGTCTCCTTCAATCTTTGGCAGTTTTACTGGAAGATCCTCAACGGGCACTGACACTGGACCACAATCTCCGCAATGAATGATGGGAATTGGTGCCCCCCAGTACCGCTGGCGACTGATCAACCAGTCTCGCAGACGCCAACTCTCGACAAACTTCGCCTGTCCAACTTGCTGTAGATTCTCGACGATCAGCTTCGAAGCCTCCTTGGATTGCATCCCTTGGTACTTTCCACAACGTGAGTTCAGGAAGCCTTCTTGAGTGAAAGCCTTGGAGTCTGATTTCAGACCCACGCTGATGGCTTCATTGCCACTCAACTCAGCCTCAATCACTACCGGAATAGATTCAGGATTGGCATTCTCTTTGAAAAACGACATGTCTCTGGTGTCGTGGCCTGGAACACCCATGACAGCTCCTTCGCCATAATCGCTTAGAACGTATGGCGCCACAAAGACAGGAAGCTTCCTCTGCAAGTGAGGAGTCTCCATGTCAATGCTACACATGGGATGTGATACCTCGACGCCAGAGAGTCGGTATCCTGCCTTGGAGTCTGGTGCAAACGACGAAGCTTCGCTCAGGAACTTGCGTAGTGCTTCATCACTTTCCGCAGCCTTCAGTACGATCGGATGATTCAACGAGAGCGCAAGGTATTCCACGCCATATAATGTGTCTGGTCGAGTGGTAAACACATCCACATCCACCTTCTCACCATCGTTGACAGTGACAGGAAACGTGACTTTAGCACCATATGACTTGCCAAGCCAATTGCGCTGCATGGTCAGTACACGTTCAGGCCAGCCCCCAGATAAAGAGTCCAGATCTTTCAAAAGCGCCTCTTTGAATTCCGTAATCCGGAAAAACCACTGCTTCAAATTCAACTTCTCAACCTTCGCCCCAGACCTCCACGAAAAGCCATTCGCGTCAACCTGCTCATTCGCCAAAACCGTCTTATCCACCGGGTCATAATTAACCAGTGCTTCAGCCTGGTATGCCAAATCCTTCTTATAAAGCATCAAAAATATCCGCTGTGTATGTTCGTAGAAATCAGGATCACACGTAGCCAATTCCTAGACATCCCATTAGCCCAACGTCCCTGCAAAAAGCATGCCACATACCCTATCCCAATCGAATTCCGCAGAAATACACTTCAACTGCTCTTTCATCCTCTGGATATTCTGCTGCGTCCACACCGCAGGATCAATACCTCTCTCGATTGCCGCATTCTCCGCCGGCAGCCCAAAGGCATCCCACCCCATCGGATGGACAACTTCATGGCCACGCATTTTCCAAAATCGGGATATCACATCTGAGATCGTATATACGCGCAAATGGCCCATGTGCAGCGTTCCAGACGGGTATGGGAACATGGATAGAATGTAGGATTTGCGTTTCGTCTCGTCGGGCGGCGGTCGTTCGCTTGCTTGCCACTGGGCTTGCCATTTCTTATCCAAGGCCGGTAGATCCAGCCGGGTTTGTGAGCTTGCGCGACGGGTGAGGGTGTATGTGGCCGAGAGACGGGGGCGCGCGTGGAGTCGACCTTGCGGCAGGGCGCTGGCCATTCGGTGTCGGGGGAGGGATTGCATTGTTTAACTGTGTTCCGCAAATCAAGGGCAGGTATCAAGAGCAGGTATCAAGGGAGATATAGGCCATGCTTGCGACCTGGTTGTTGTGAAGTGAGTTGTGAAGTGAGTTGCGCATCTTCAAATTCCCCGAGCTTGATAGGACTAGTCCATATCCGGACTAGCGTATTTACTATACTTGACTCTGATTGTTTTATGTTCGAGTTCTTTCTTTCTTTCTTTCTTCCTATACAGTTTCATAGTCATTACATCTTACATGCGCAGGATATCACCGCTCTGGTCAATCCCGCCTCGGAAATGATCTGTAACCACTTTTCCACCCAAAATAGTCTCTTCCACAAGACCTTCAACATGCTTGGGTTCAATCCGACCATACCAAATACCCTTACCCGCCAGCGGGTGGGGTTCAGATGTGCCTCCAATGGTCATCTTGGGCGGGAGATAGACAATCACATTGCCGGCATACTTATGTCCTCCAACATGACTGATGAGCCCGATGTGGGCATGGGTGGGAGAATCCACGGTAGTTCCGTCGCTATTTGCAGATGTAAACCCGCGAGCCTGGAGTACCCGCTGGAATTCTAGTTCTAATGCAGGCGCCATCACACCGCAGCGCATGTCGCGTCCTCCATGGCCGCAGATCAGAATGGTGGGGGAATGGTGGATATCGACAGCTTCGGGGAATTTGGTGGCTAGTTCTGGAGCGCGAGTCATGGCTGCTTGTTTTTCTGCGGGGAGTGAGGAGTGCATGTCGTGAATGCGGGTGGGGAGAAGATAGGCGCGGACAAAGGTCGTGAGGTCGATTTGGTCGGATGCGTTGGTTTGAACGGGTATCGAGGGGATGTATTTGAAACTGGGGAACAGGAATGCTGAAGCCGAGGTCGATGAGCTTGCGGCGGGCGCAATGGAAGATGCCGTCACAAGAACATTATTGAAGGGCTAAACGGGTATGGTCAATAGAGGTTGGATTGTAAGCCGAAAATGTGCACGCACGTCCAAATATGGTCCTCCACGGCCCAGGAGCCCCTTCAGCCCTCTCACAAGATTACCCCACCCTTGCTCCTCGCCATCATTCTCAATGCGACTGGTCCAATCGGGCTGTCCTGTGCATACCAACAGCTGTTGTGTATAGGCCGCCATCGTTCCATTCAACGCTTGGTCATGATCAATTGGCAGACCTTCTGGTAGAGCGGGTGTGGGCGGACAATTGCAGCTGGGCTCGGGGCAGCTCTTGGTCACTGGGAAAGGAGGCGGAATCTCCAATCGCGCGCGCAGCCTGCTTCGGCAGTTTGTCGTACTGGACAGCAGGCGCATGGGTCTGACTTGTTGACATGTTCGTGCGCTCCTGCGCGCGAGCGATTGCGCGAGGGTGAGAGTCATGGTGAATGTGAAGAAGAAAGAGACAAAAAAAAACAAGAATGAAGACTAAACGGTTATCTCCGCAGAGTCCGAGAGCTCGGCCCCGATTATCAATCTCCGCCTTGTGATTCCTCCGTTCTACTTACTACTTACTACTTACTACTTACTACTTACTACTTATTACTTATTACTTACTACTTATTACTTACTACTTACTACTTACTATACTTCACTATATTGAACTTTGTCTTTAGAGAATTCATCTCTATATGACAATTATAACAGTTACATCCGTCGCTCAAAATCAACATCAATCCCAAATCTAGTCCGAGACGTAGACCGGTCCATCGGCTCATGCATCTCAGAAACATCAACATCAGAAACACTAGAAACATCAGAGTCACGATGTCTATCATTCTTCTCCCAAAATCCCATGGAGAAGGATCGCCCCTCAAATACCCGCCTCTTCAAATCCCCATCAGACCACCACTCCGCGCCGCGGGGAAGGACAGATCCCAGCAGACGCGAGCCGTAAAGAAAACTCGCCACAGAAGCGATACTAGTCGGACTCTTAGGAAGAATCTTTGTCGTCCGCATGGCACACAGTGCAATCACAGCACACACAACCATACTGCCCAGCACCCCGTCCAAAATCCGAGTAGAGATCATATTCTGCACGAGGTACTTGCGTCCGTCGTGGAAAATACCCGTGTAGGTGGGTGCGGTCATGGTGGCAGGGTCCACGAAATAGGTCTTGTTGTAGGGCTCGCTGAAGGAGCTCCGGGCACCAGTGTTGAGTAATTGGGCCACTGTCACGCCGTAGACGACTTCCAGGCGCGCGATCAATTTCTCGGGGGCCAGGAGCTCGCTTAGTGGGACACCGTCTATGCCTTGGACTAGCGTCTCGAGCAAGGCGTTGTTATATTTGGGGTCGCTTTTGAAGAGGTAACTGCTGCGCAGCAGGTCAAAGGATGGGAAAGACCGTGCATTGGTGTTGAAGGGTTGTCGGGCTGAGCTCTCTTGTACCCTTGGCGGGGTGTCGGTGTCGATGGAAAGAGAGGGTAGTTGAAGTCTGGTGTCGACATCGACTTCTTCCAATGTGGCATTGCAGTAGAGGTACTGATACTCGCTGGCTTTGGTGTGGTTGGAATTGGAGTATTTGCCAAAGAGTATGGAAAATGTAGGGCATACTGCAAGCCCGGTATTCTTGGTTGATTGTATGGGGGCCTCGAGGAAGTAGTCTACATCAGCGACGGTCGAAGTGGACGTTTCAAAGAAGCAGGTCGAGTTAGTTTTACTCTCACACCACAATTTTCCCCGGATGTACTCGCAGGTGTTTGCGGGAGCTTCAGCACAGGCAAGTCGGCTGCGGAGAGCAGGGACGCGCACATCAATGTATCCTTCGTCATATGAGTTGTTGCTAGCAAGTGAGAATTGTGGGAATGCAAGGTTGTTGTACGTCCATTGGGGGTCTGTGAGGTTGAGGTTGAGGATCAATCCAGCCGTGTGGTCGGTATTATAACCCTGTTCACTGTAGTAGCGCATGATGAGGCTGGCATTGGTAGGATTGCCTAGGTCCCAACGAGTAGACTGAGTGAGGTTCATAGGGAATGTAGGCCCTGAAACCTTGGCTGTGAACAGACCAGAGACCAAGATCGGGTTGATTGCCGCAAGAAGCAGAGCTATCGTCGCCGCAGCTAATGCCCACTGCTTTTTTCGGAGTGTATCCACTACCCCATACACAGCGATCTTCCGCAACTGATTCTCGAGGATTGTTGTCTCTGGGGGAGCAGAGCCCTTGCGGAGAGTAGAGTAGGGCTGGACAATGCGTGTGCCAAACTCAACAGAGGTGAAAAGGCAGCGAATTGCGAACATGATCAATGCCGGGATATACACCCAGATATAGTGGATGTAAGGTGATTTCCCGTCAACCACAGTTATTCCACGTCTGCTTGTAGAGATGTGGTATGCGACTTCAAGACTGACAATGACAGCAATGGGGAGAACAACCACGGTAATTCGAACAAACCAAGTAGAGGCGAACGGGTGCCACCACTGCGGCGTGTCCTCACCATCACTGGGCTCGATGCTTCGGGATACAGGCTGATCCTGAGGAACAATTGCGAACGTCCCTGCTATGTCAGCGATGGTGGTATACTGCGTCTGGCCCGGCCTGCATGCTGCCATCTGCATCTCAGTCTTGAGTTGCGAACCTTCAAAACTAGTCATGAGCTCTGGGCTTTGGGCTAGAACGGTAGCCAGGCCCCCGATTGACCCTGTGTCTCTGGGACACACTGCAACCGGTACAAAAAGGCACAGTAGCATGACGACAGTGGCAATCAACATGCCTAACAGTACCACCATCAGCCAGAACGACATCTGGCGTACGAAAAGTCGATCTTCGGTCAACTGCATGGTTCCCTTGATATTGTGTGGTTCGTCTTGCAACAAATCGTTTTTTAACACTTGCTGCATCATACATGAGAATGAATCTGCGACGGCGTGTTCAAATGCAGATGTGTCGGCCCAGAGTTTATCCCATGAAGTACCGTTTGCTGCGAAAACATATTGATATCCAGAAGGTTCTCCGGTGGTAGAATATCCAGTCGATGCAGATTTTAGGGAACTGTACATTAGCTTTGCAGCCTGTACACCCGTGATTCCCTTCGTGACGTTCAGAGTGTCTGGTTGAATATCCACGGAGTTGGCACTCCCTCCGGCCTCACGCCAGATCCTTACTGGGCCCTGGTATGCGGTGTATTGGGGCTTACATACAACAACACGGAACGGATCTTTTTTGTAGTCGGCATAGGTCAATTGTTGCTGCACTGTCAAGTTGTGAGTTTGAGAAGGGGCAATGGATGCCCAAATCCGGAAATCAATGTCCCAATCGTTGATATATGGGGGATCGGAACTGTCAGTGTCATTGAGTCGCTGGCCCTGACAGCCATATATTTCGGCATTGATTCCAAAGTTCGTGTCGGAGTTGAGCAAAACAGAAGGCGTCTCTCTTGTTTGATACCGACACCCGTCTGGGGCTGTATACACTGCGGTTTCGTTGTCGGTGAATCTCGCCGTTGATAGTTCCCATGAAATCGTTGCATTCTGACAGTCAAAATACGGCCTGATCACTTCAATCTCTGCTTGGTAGGTTCTATCTGCGGGAATTGTGCTATTTCTGGTGGATTCCAAAGCAGCTGGTTGAAAAGGTGTATAGGTGTACTTGCCGTGGATACCAGCAGGGGGGGTCATGTTGCGATTCGAGAAGGCCATGCAAGCTGCGAAGGCTTTGGCATTCTTTGTCAATGGGTTGAAACCAGTCTCACCAAATTTACTCGTCACGGTCATATCCGTAGACTCGGTGAGTAGCACTGAGTCTAATTCAAAAAGACCGGTCGAAAACACTGTGACACCGTTGAGCAGGAGGGACCCTGCCACGCAGAGAGAGACCAGAAAATGCCTCTGCTTGAGTGACTCGAAAAGGGACATCACATTCCATTTTGACAGGTAGTCCAGGAATATACTCTGTGACGCAGCAGTCGGGCCCCGGCGCATCAGGATCCACGGCATCAGCTGTGCCGCCCGATATTCAGCCTGTAGCCATCCGGCAGTGAGTATGGTAAATACTATGGACTCATTAGCAACGGAATCCTCGTCTGGCAATATCCTACATACCTGCGGTCGGTCCATAGGTCCAGAGATAATAGAGTCTCTCTCCATCTGTCCTGATCCCCAAGGTGTGGTTTTGGCGTTGGGTGTACACGTACAGTGCAATGAGGGCACCCAAGCATGCTAGGTAACTGATCAGAAAGACGACCATAATCGGACGACGCAGAAAGAATGGCGCCCATAGGCGACGGCTGACTTCATCAGTGCTCTTTGCTTTCACCGAGGTGACTGGGTCTTTGACATCTCGAAACATCTTCGGACGTCAAAGGCGAAGAGACTGATTTTATTCGAAGATCTGACATTGCAATGAGGGAATGACAGTTGACTTAAGAAATGTTGTCTACGCCGTACTTAAGTACTTTTAACGCCGATCGACAGGGCCTTGGCATCGATGATTGGACTGAGGCCCAATACGCGCTGGCCCCCGATGTTCCTTTGTTTCAGGGGAATGTCAATGCTCTGAAATATCATTACTCTGACATTGTCAGCTATAAATACTATGGTATTCTGTACTGTACTTAAGTATGTAAACTACTCTTGGCATCCAAAAGGACGCATTTAGTCCATTCTGGCAGAACCATCTTAAGACTGAAGTCCCAGCTCCCATTCCTCCTTTATGTTGATGAAAACTTTATAATCACTTTACTGGAGATTATCATACTCAGTATCAGAGTCTTACATATTACTTATGGAAATATAGATACTTCACCTTGAAACTTTAGAAGTTTGTTTTGTACTTAAGTACTTAAGTATATATTATGGCTGTGTAGGTGAAACTTTAGAATGTACCTGTACTTAAGTACCTTGGGCCTGGCTGTACATCTGAAACTTTTGAATAACACAAGAATAGCTTTCCAATAATCAACTGCCATGTCTATTGGAATTTGCTGATCTCGTAGATAATATCCAGGGTAATGTTCATCCCAATGGCATTCTCGGGCAGGAATTGATCTGTTATGTGGAAAGCATTTTCAACCCACATAGCAGATCAATCCCAGCTTGAAAGTGCGCCGAAGTGTAGATTGCGGTCGAAACAGTGCGAGATGGAGGGAGAGTTTGAGGATCGTCCTGGGAATCAATATTCCCATCCCACCAGGTGTTCACATTCGCCGTGGGTGCAGTTCAGATCTTGGAATTCCCAAATTATCCTGGCCCCACGAGTGTAGAAGCACAAGAGCTCAATCCGAATATTTCAGGTGATGGAATCTGCTCGAATATATTTTTGTGAATCCACACGAAAGCACACGGAATTGTTCAAATTGCAAGACTGTGCCTACTAGCAACATGCACTGGCTCAGAACACTCACGTTCGGGCGACTCGTCCCCCGAGTTTCAACCCCATGGCACCAGGGACAATTCTGCGCGTTGTCAACCATTTACTTTCACAGGGCACTCGATTCCGATAAGTGAATCTCAACGGAAGATCTGCCCGGTGAGGGTCAAATCAAGCCTTCGTCGACCCACGCAGAGCTCCATTCGAGCGAAAGCGGCAAATAGCCCCGTAGAACCCCGCACCCGTGAACCGATCATGCGACGCGCGCCCTTTTGCCAGCACATCAAACACGAGCAGAAATGTAACATTCCCCCTGTATTTGGGTATTTGGTGTGGTACACGATGGTCTGGATTTGCGCACCGCATGGGGGAGGGAGGTTGCGAAGGTGTTTATTCGTGAGCGATTAAGGCATTTAGGGCGCGGTCGACAGGTTGGTGCTATTCAATTAGTATTTTCATGCATAGCATGAGTGTTCACATAGAACAATGGCTGGAGACTTTTTTCCCTTTTCACATTTTTTTTTTTTTTTTTTTTTTTTTTTTTTATATTTCTAGCCTTTTATACTGGTCTTTTAGAGCTCTTTTGTGTCATTGAAGCCTGCTTCT